AACAACGTGTGAGCAAAACAAACAGACATAATTGGTAAAAATGTCAAAAATAATTGGGGTACAGCAGTCAACTTTGTGTTATAATCTTAACCACTATAAAAATAAACAAATATGTCAACAAATAAAAACAAAATGGCATAAAGACACTCAATAGACAAAACACATATGCAAAAAGGAAAGACAAGAATACAAAAAATGACCATAGCACAACAGTACAATGGCGGGATGTATAAATACCGAGCCAAACAAAAAGATACTACCAAAAATCGACTTAACAGTAAAGGTTAAAATTATACAAAGACAAATGAAAAGAACACTTCATCACGTGATTAAGATACTAAAATACGTCAATACCTAGAATCTTTATTTTAAGACTATCGTGTATTATTTGTGAAATTGATACGGAATATTTATCAACATGGTCTTGGTATTTTCCGATGAATTTTTTTTTTTTTGAAAAAGGACGAGACGTTCTTTGACATCCTGTTTGAATGCTTTTACACTAGTCATTTTTGGGGCCCTTTATAGCTTTCTGTTCGGTGCGAGCCAAGGCTCCGTGTTGGAGGCCGTACTTTGACCTATAATGGTTTACTTTTTACAAATTGTGACTTGGATGAAATGTTGTCTCATTGGCATTCATACCACATCTTCTTATATCTAATAACCCTAGTTCATCAACTTTCTGCTCAGACTTTGGTGACGTGTGATAAAGTCTGAGCAGCAGCTGCAAGCTCTTGAATACCGGATGAGTTGCGAAATGTATATACCATATGCAAGTGAAGCTGGTATATTGCTGCTAAGGTGGGGGAATTTTATAGTTTCAAAGCTAAAATGAGGCAGAAGAAACCGTGTCTGATGTTTCTTTAATGTCTAGTTCTGAAGGATATAGTAATGGAACCCAATCAGAAAAGTTTGGATTTATAATTGAAAGAACATCATCAATAATCTGAATGTGACATTAAATGATCCGCACAGCTCGTTCCCATAGGAATTCCAACAATTTGTGGAAAAAGTCTACCTCCAAATTCAACAAATACATGTATGTTGTCAATAAGAAACTCCAGCATACTGATCACTTGTTCCTCGGTTTACCATGTTCTACCTTTTTGTTCACTATTAACAAAATATACCGTATGGTATCCCGAAGCAATAAATTTATAGCGTATGCTACTATTTCTATATTGAAAAGCATTGAGGATTATTTTTTTAGACGATTTTTCAATTTCATACGGGGAATGGTGGTATAAAGAGTTGAAAAATAAAAGGTTTTCATGGAATTAATTTCAGAGAAAGATAGGGTAGGCTATATATGATTTAGAATATTAATGGACAATGACACGAGTCAAGGGTAAAACACTGATCAATGACACACAATTGTTGCTCTTTTCATGAATAAATGAATAAAATATTATCATATAGTTACTTGACAGTTTTTATATCGGATCTATTACCAACCCCGATGTCATGATACATGTTTCAGTCCAAGATCTGAAGACTCGAGGGCTGATATTGACAAAGGTTTGAAAATACATCTGAAGTGAAAAATATCACGTACAGTCAGCTATATAAAAAAACTCATCAAAGATACCAGGCTGATAAAAAAGGCTCGAGCATGAATAATGTGAAAAAAATCAAACAAGAAAACTAACATTTTAATTCATAACACATTATAATTTTCAAAAAAAAACATATGACAGACATAAACCAACGACCAATTACAGGCTCCTCAATTCGGACAGGCACATAAATAATGTAGCGGGATGAACATGTCTATGAGCACTAAACCATCCCCCTAACCTGGGACAGTGATGAAAGAGCAAAACAAAGTAACAAACTTAAAAAATCCGTTGCAAATGGCTTTACTCAATAGATTGGATTGAAACACAGAAAAAAAAACACAAAAACAGTAGACACTCGCATTTAATGAGATCTATTTCGAAGGCAATTACAACTAAGAAAGAAATCATGTTCTTCCAGACTGAAGTACACATCCTACGGATTTAGGCTAAAGACATCATAAACAGTCTGAGAAATGCATGGAATCGTGCAATGCCAAAATTTAAAGTCAAAAGACACAAACTAATCTTACTTGCTGTGTCATTTCTGGATACGAAAAGATCAATACGGAGTTGTTCGCTATCAATCCAGGCGCGAGACGTTTGCGCTTTTTTATAGGACATTTGCACTTCTTGAAATTGACATTTGCGCTTTTTTATAGGACATTTGCACTTCTTGAAATTGACATTTGCGCTTTTTTATAGGACATTTGCACTTCTTGAAATTGACATTTGCGCTTCAATTCTAAGGACATTTGCGATTTTTGAAATAGGTCATTTGCGCTTTATCAACATAAAATTTTACTGTTGGTGCTTGCTGATTTCACCCCTCATTTACTCGCGCTTGAAGAAATTGATCAAACTATTTTCCTACTTCACATGTTCAATTTGTACTCTTAGAGAGTCCCTGCTCATGTCAGATGAAAACGACAACACTTCATCGAATACAAATAAATTCATAATAACAATCATGACTCTATTTTCAAAGTCAACATCAACTGTTAACGGGGGAAAAAACCTTATAAATTTCGGCGTGTGTCCTAAGTGCTTTTCTGGATTTACGTTCATCAGGAATGCTCAAACTCAGGCATATGAAAGCGAAGGATGTATAAATATGTTAAAAAAACAATGGAATGAATAAAAGAGGAATGTTATTTCCGTTTTTTAAAGCGATGAATGGTACAAATATAAGTTGATTTTAATTTGCGTAATGATTTAAACTCATCAAGATTTTATAGGTAAAGGCGCAAATGTCCTGTCCATCTAGCTTGCCTTTCAATATATAGGCTTGGCTTCTATGAGAACAATAGGAGATAGTTTGCCATCTATTCAAAATGCAATGCAATGTATAGATCTAGGTTATAAATAACCAAAACGAGATACCTTACAACTATTCAAGTAACCATTCATTATATATATAACTATGTGTTCCCCCTTCATTTATTGTTGTATTGATGTGATATATAAAATGGAAGCGCATTATGTACATGATAAAAAGAAAATTTACATTGATTTTTTTTAAGAGTCAAAATATTAACATTAAAAAATCTTAAAATTTCGAAATAATATCTTTTCAAATCTCTAAATTCGGACTTTACTCAAAATTTTTACATGTAAAATTTTAGAATTACGACTTTTAGAAGGTTGATTTTTTCAATTTTAAGAGTCGAAATTTCGATAGTTTAAATATCAAAATTTCTATCTTTATTTATAAGTCGAGTTTTTAAGATTAAAGTCGCAATTTTGATATTTAAAAAATCGACATTTCAAGATTTTAAAGGTTTATTTTTAAAAGCCAAAATTACGAGAATTGAAAAGTGAAAATTTCGGTGTTAGTCGATATCTTAAGACCTTAAATATCATTATTTTGATTTCGAAAAAAGTTCTATGTCAATCTTATTTTTATCATGTCCCTAGTACGCTTCTGTAGATATACTACTATCCTGGTATGGTTTGAATTTTTTACATTGGTGTAGCTTCTGGGTGGATAATTCCCTTGAATACAGCAAACAACATAAAACTTTCAGTGAATTTTGTCATCAGCCATTACACTTTATAGACCCCTAGTCTTTTAGAATCTATACCTAGCTAGCCAACCTCGATCAGTAAATAACTTAAGTCATGAATACATATAATATTGGCTTCTTCAATTAAACAGCCACTAACGTCCTGATAATAAAATATTCGTTTTAAAATTTGAAAATAGTGTGGAAATTATTTTTTTTAAATGGTTAATTGCATGTACATGTAGTGACATATGCCTGTGGCAGTTTTCGGAAACCCAAAGTCAGATGTATGTTACGTGTTTTGCATGTACGGTTATAACTTTATATTATAAAATAAGGAGATGTGGTATGATTGCAAATAAGACGACGATTAACTTTAGACCATGTAATAACTTTAGGTAACCATAAGGCACTCAACAATGAGCAAAACCCATACCTTAAAGTAAGCTTTATTAGACCCGGGGATAACAAAATGTGAAAAAAAATGAAAAAAGAGAAAAACATTGTTTATGAGCGCTCCATCCTCCTCAAACTGGAGCAGTTGTGTTACAGCGTTATATTACTAATCTTACTCGAAGTTACATTTCTGGATGATACGAAATGATCGATACGGACTAGTTCGCAATCCATCCAGTTTGCCTTTCTATATATAGGCCTGGCTTCTATGAGAATAATAGGAAATGTCATGCAATGTAATAGATCTGGCTACTAAAAAGATCAATACCGGCTACCTTGCCATCTATTCATGTAACCATTCAATGTATATATATGTTGTTTACTTTTTTATTCATTGTTGTATTGATATAATATATACGTAAACGTATTTAGGACATAATAAAAACAAAATTGACATTAAACTTCTGAAAGTTTTGACATTTAAAAGCCTCAAATTTAAATTTAACTCGTAATTTTATCTTTTAAAATCTGAAAATTTTGACTTCAAACTGTAGAAGTTCGACTTGAGTTTTTAAGACTCGAAATTTCGATTTTTCAATGTCGAAATTTCGACTTTTTAATTTAAAGCTCAAAATTTCAAATGTAAGTTCAAAAATCGAAATGTTGAGATTCAAATTAAAAGTCTTAAAGACTCAAGTCAAACTTTTAAAATTTAAAAAGTCAAAAATGTCAAAACTATAAAATTGGGTATTTCGAGTTCAAGTCGATATTTTATGATTTAGATGTTAATATATTGACTTCGAAAAAAAAGTTCAATGAACAATGTCAATTCTATTTTTATTATGTCCCTAATACGCTACTGTAGATATACTATTTTACTTGTATGGTTAGAATGTTTTAAGAGTTAAAATCGATTCGCAAGAAAAATATTTCCTGGATTTATTTGTTTGAGGGTGACTATAATTATAATTAGAAACTGAAATTTTTAGAAATGTGCGTTTCTCATAGCTATGACTATGACTATCGGTAGTATGATTAAATACAATACCTTTGACATCAAACTTCCTGTATTTTCATTAGTTTGATCACTTAACACCGATAAGATGTTTTTTTGAAATAGTATTGTTTAAATGACATCTTTGGTGTATCTAGTGATAGGATTTACAAGTTGTATCTTTAAGGGTTTGTATTTCTATAGTTCTAGATTTGAAATAGAGGAAGATCTACCCTATCATTTGCATTCCTCAAAGTATAATTTAATATCAAAAATACTTGTTAAGAAAATTTTTTTTTTAAAAGCCAAATAAAATATTTGAATTCTTTGATTGTTTTTTTGTTTTGTGTCATAAGATATAAATTTAGCTAGAAACAGATAAAATCAAATTTAAAAAAGAAAATAAATAATACAAACAAATAATCGCCACTTTTTATTTTTTTTGTACAGTAATAGAATCGACACAGCAACCAGAGATAACAGTTACAACAGAAGTTACTGTTGGTTTTAATGTAGATTTAACTTGTTCATATCCTGTTGAAGAAAACAAGACTAGAACATTTAAGTGGTATGTGAACGACACACAGCATAGTATTGTACAACAGCGTATTCTACGGTTTATCGTAAAGAAGACGGATAAATACAATGTCTACAAGTGTGAGGTAGAAGTAACTACTACAGGAAGCCAGGGAAAACCTCGGTATCATAAAACCATAAAGCTGCAACCAAAATGTAAGATTTTCTGATGACTATATATTAAGCTTATTTTTCTATGTAAATTAAATGAAAACAGGAAATCAAGCCAAAATAAACTTATTGAAATTCAAATATATATTCCATAGGTTTTTAAATATTTAATCAGGCTAAAACACAATTAATTACCATTCCTAAGAATAATTGACTTTTTTGTGAAGTCTACGATTAATTCACAAGCTTATTTTGCTACGGTTTAGTATCAAAATTTAAAAAGAAACCTTTGCCAAAGTTATTGAATAAATAAAACATTGTATAAAGTATCATGCTGAATAGTTAACCCATAAAATAGTTTTCCTTTGTAGACCCACCTACTATTCATATGAAACCACTCTACATATGTGACAGATTATTGAACATCAATTTGAGTTGTGAAGCGGAGGGTTACCCAGCAAAGTATACGTTTAGCAACTGGGAACATCGTGTTGATGGTACCGTAATTCGACACCTCCCAGGTGTCAACATTGACAACATTTCTTACCTGAAGTTGTCACGCTGTACTTATCAGGATACAGGAACGTACTACTGCACAGTCGGGAACAATGTCTCTCATCCCAATAATACACAGACTTCTGTTGGTTCTGTTGATTTTAAAGTTAATGGTAGGTTTTTATTTACATAGACCATATACATCTTTAAGTAGAATACCATAGGTTATTTGCTTGATAATATTTATGTTCGTTTTGGAGATTAAATATATTGTCAAAATCCGACGAGAACAAACTACGGGGGGATGGAGGCAGAAGGAATTTTCATTTGTACCTTTTGATATGCATGCTTATATTTTTTTCTCGGCTACTCCTCGAGAAAATTATTTTCACGTTTGTACACAATTCTTTGCTGCTTTTTGTGTTGCATAATATTAGTTTTCATCTGGTCTTAGGCAAGATTATTTATTCATTTAGAAAATCCGCCTTAACGAAAATTAATTGGTCGTCCCCTCGGTTATTGCAAATGTGATCATTTTCGTGTATAAATCAAATTCGGGACAAACCTACGATCCAGATGTACTGACTAACACACTTAAACGTGTTACTTATTTACAGCATGCCAAGTCAAAAGATTATTTAAATATAAAATTATACGCCATTCTACTCTTCAAATTAGCCTTTACGTAGACTAATACATGGAAACAGTCAAATCAAGACAAAAGAAAACATATCAATATCTTTAATCCATCCAAAATAATAAAACCCAATTTAATCGAGATTTTAGCTTCTTAATTTTATTTTGGTTCAGTTATGAATTTTTTTTTTCAAAGATTCCAGCCTTATGATAAAGTTCGCAAGACGCGCGTTTCGTTTACATAAGGCTCATCAATTGGCCGTTTCAGAATCTAAAGGACAATGGGTAATTGTATTGCTCGTACCCCAAAATGAAAATAACATCATGTCATTGGTTGAATTTCAATTGTTTAGGACGTTTTTAACCAAACACGACGCTTTGGTGTACACTTTTGAAAATATTTCCCAGAATGCATTAGATTCTGAAACGGCGAATTACGCCGTGCAATGTATCCATTAATGTGTGTAATTGTTTTATGTATCATTTGAATATTAATAGTAAAAGACACCAACACGAAAAGCAGCAAACATAGTTGTTTGTTTTTTGGGCATTCTATTTTCTTGCAATGGCGTTGTCAGTTAATTTTCGACTTATGAGTTTGAATGTCACTTTGGTATATTTCGCCTCTCTTTAACATTACATAAAATTTAGGTCAATAAACTGTTTTATTATTATACTAGTTTGATCATGACTGTTTGTTTCCTTCTTTAATTTCAATTTCCTACTTCGAATTTAAACTGATCAGTTTAATATTCAGCTTACATTTTGTTCAGAAGCACGAATTAAGAATTTTAATTTCACAAGACCTGCTTGAGCTTATTTGTGATTTGATTATTTCGTCCTGAATATTCATTAATTATTTGCAACTGGTGTTATCAAACAACACCCAATCAATCATTCAATTTATGAGAGATAGAGGTAATAAGTGGCAAATAAAGTTGTATGTCGCTAAAATTTGGCAAAATGCCAATGGAGAAAGCCCAAATATAGCCCCTCTTACCAGTAAAATTTTCACAGATTAGTTATATGTCAGTCAATACTTCACTACAAAAGTCTAAAAGTCTGAAAAGACCAGTTTTTGTCTTAATTTGCATGAGCTTTTACTCGACATTCTCCAAAAGTATGACTTGTGTCTTGATTCTTCTTGACAAATTCTCATTTATATTAAATTTGTATGAAATTTACTCGACATATTCTCGACATTCTGAATATGGTCTTAAAATTTCTTGACAAATCTTGACATTTGAATACTGTCTTGAAATTTCTCGACATATTCTCAACATTCTTATTTTTTCTCAGTATGGCTTGACATATTCTGAACATTTTGAATCGTGTCTTAAATTTACTTGACAGTTCTGAGTTTTACAAATCATGACCAATATTCATGATATAACTTTAATCTTTATTTCTCTTTATATGATATACTGTTGTTTCAAGTTACACTTCTTTACAAACAATTTCAATGTGGGTTTTTAAATAATTACAAATTTTGATTCCTAAATCTTATAAATTAAATGATTCAAACCAATCATACTGTAGACATATTTCATTCTACATTCATAATATTCAATGATGATATGGTAAATAATTATTATACCAAAATGTGGTTTATATAAATAGCAAATAATGATGATATACAAATCATTCATTTAACAGAAGAAAAATTTGTGTAATGTCATCTGTAGGAATATATTAAGTATTACACATGGACAGGATGTTCCCCATAAAATTAAGGTATTCCACACCGCAGAGTACACGCAACTGTCAAATAGAAGTTATTGCTTTACCTGTAATCAGCCATACAACTTATCAGTTGACCGACCATGCCACTACAATTTAAATAGTTTGTTGATAGATGAAAATGAAAATCATCATTTTGATGAAAAAAAATTGAATTGAAATGGATTTTCTTCATCAAAATTATGAAGTTAATTATTTTAACATAAAAACAAATTGAATAATTCCCAAAGATTAAAACTTTAAAGAGAATTATTATCTACTCCAGGAATAATAAAAAAAATGTATTTATAATGGGTCCCATCAATGATTTCTATAGAAATCATCAGTCTTATGAAATGGTTCTCAAACAGACATGCATAATATAGATCTAAACATTTTTTTCTTTTCAGGTTTTCAGGAAGGAGTTATCACAAATATTTATTTTTGATAAAAAAATTATAAAATTCAACACTCAAATTTGAATAAAAAATGTTTTTGGGTTGTTCTAAAAAATGAATAAGGTTTTTGAATCAAGATGGGAACAAATTCTTTGACCTAAACGAAAGCACCCCCTCTTTTTTTAGCCACACAAACCCAAAAGATGAATTGTGGGGTCCAAAAGAGATACAAGACACCTATTTTAGTAAAGCAAATTTGACTGGCAGTTTTGCGAACAGCAAAAATCTAAATGCTGTTTGTCAATACCTTTGACTTATATTCCAAGTGAAAACAATTACTTAAATGTTTAATAAAAATAAATCAAAATTAAACTACATGGGGGATTATTCAGGGTATTCCAACTTAGTTGCACCAAAAGGGTATCTTACTATACCAAATTAATCCTTGATTCTTCAAAGTTTAGTTTAGCCATAATAAAAAGGAGTATACAACAGCAATAGAATGTCATAAACAGTGCAGAATAAGTCTGGTCACATTTCAGGCGAAATTTATACTGTTGAGATAGTGTCAAGACATATTTAAGACTGTCAAGAATGTGTCGAGACATATTCAGACATTATTTAGAATGTCGAGAATATGTCGAGACATATTCAGACATTATTAAGAATGTCAAGACTATGTCAAGACAGATCGAGACAAATTTAAGACAGTCAAGAATTGGTCGAGACTAATCCAGACTCTTATCAGATGATACAGGAAGTGTCGAGAAATTTTAAGACAATGTTCATACTGTCAAGACACTTGTCAAGAAAAATCAAGAACCTTTTTAGACAAATTCATACTATGTCAAGAATTTTTAAAAATTATTCAGACAAATTAAGAATGTCGAGTAAAAATTCATGCAAATTCAGACAAAAACTGGTCTTTTCAGACTTTTTGACTTTTGTAGTGCTTCGTACCATAGTTACAAATGTAAAACATTTAGGAAACATGTTTTCTGGAGATTTACGCTTCAGTATTGTTTATGCCGACAAAATTAGAATAGATATCAATTTTCCACAAAATTCTCATAAAACCATCCACCTGCCATTTATTTTTAGGTCCCGAAAGGCATTATGCAAAAACACCGACAAAAATCGTTTAACATTATGATTGTTATAAAAAAAATACCATATTGCTTGAGTATCTATACATAAAGAGATGGGGTTTTTAAATCATGATATATACGTTGTCTAGGTCTAAATGTATTTTGAAATTTATAGAGTTATTATAAAAAGTAAATGAACAAAAATACCGAACACCAAGGAAAATTCAAAAGGAAGGTCCGTTTTCAAATGGCAAATTCAAAAGCTCAAACACATCAAACGAATTGAAAACAACTGTCATATTCCTGACTTTGGTACAGGCATTTCCTTGAGTAGAAAATGGTGAATTAAACCTGGTTTTATAGCTAGCTAAACCTCTCACTTGTATGACAGTCGCATATAATTCCATTATATTGACAATAATGTGTGAGAAGAACAAACAGACATAATAGGTAAACATGTCAAAAATGGGGTACCGCATTCAGCATAATGTTATTATTTTAATCACTATAAAAACAAACAATTGTGTCAACAATGAAAAAATGGCATATAGACACTCTATAGATTAAGCACATAAGCAAAAATGAAAGATAAGAATACAAAAAAACTGAACATAGCAGAATAACACAATGGCGGGATGTATATATACCGAGCCACGCCAAAATGATTTAACCAAAAATGAACTAAGCAGTAAAGGTTTCAAAAAAAATGTACAAAGACAAATAAAAAGAACACTATAACACGTAATTAAGATGATAAACAACGTTCATAAGCATGAATTAAGAATTAAAAATTCTCCAACATCTTTATTTTCTGTGCTATTTTAGTTGTAAATTTTTATGAGAACAGCTCAACAGAATACGTTCTGTTCCACTTCTTCGGATATATCTGCATCATCTTAAAACACCTTGCATTTTGAAATAATAGACTTAATATTTTGGGATTAGATAGGACACTTACAGCATTTGCCCCTAATAATAAAATCCATTCAAGGTGTTTCTGATACATTTGCAATTTTTTCAAGAGATAACAATTAGATCATGCTTATAAAGATTGCTTGATTGGTTGGTATTAAACGCCACTTTCAGCACTATGGATATTTGTGACGGTCAGGTTTTTTTTTGTTGAGAAAGCCGGTTTGCCCGGAAAGAACAAACAATCTTAGGCAGAAACACTGACAATCCTAGTCAATTGAGATTAGAGTCGAGCACACCAGCCACGTTCGGTGTTCGAACTCACAACCTCAGTGTTGACAGGCTAGTGATACAGTAGTTGAACTACTTAAACCACTCGACCACCGAGGTCCCATGCTTGTAACGCATGTTTTCATTAGTTGATAATGATTTAGTCTAAAGAAGAAATTGCTGTTATAACTGTTTAGGAACTTGACAGTGATGTCAACTTTGTCGACAATACTGATATTACTCGCTTAGTTGTCTATTTGAAGATTACCATTACACGGTTCAAATGCAACTGGCTTGATTAAACATAACACATTGTTTTCGATTATAGTTTGAACTGCTTACTCATGTATGTGGACATATGGTGATTTGATGACAGATTTATTCTATATTACAGATTATCCTGTAGTTATAGGACATAGCATAGTGAACGCCACAGACAGTTTTGATATTATGATATCGTATTATTCATATCCAACGGTGATACATCAAAAACTATACCGTGATAGCATAGAACTTGTCCCCCCCAAATTCTCTCAAAACCTGGACATCCCATTCTTGATTCATAGAAAAATTGTACCGATAGAGGGCACTGTTCTAGTGATCAAAGTATCTAACACGGGGGATTACAGATATGTTATCCAGAACAATTATGGATCGGTAAATGGAACAGTAGATGTTTGGAGCAGAAAGACACAAAACGTTCCTTCAGGTACATATACGAAACACTTAAAACAAAATAATTTTATGTCATGGAATTCGATGACAATAATCAAAAATAAGGTTATTGTTTTATTTCACTGTAAACTGGGCGACATAATTTGAAATTATTTATATTTTGCAATATCTGTTGTCTTGTTTTATTGTCTCCAGCCTTCTGTTCAAAAAGGACAGGCAAGAAAACAAATATTTCAGGGGAAATTCAAAAATACATAATAGAATATTGAGTTGAACATTTTTCTTTATTTTCAGGTGAGATTATAATGTTGAACGATACAGGATTTAATGTAACAATGTCTTTATTTTAGTAGGAACAACAACAGAAGAATTGCCATTGTGTTCGTTTATGTCCCTTGGATTTCAACTTCAAGTTGTGATTATTGTTGTTGCTGGTATTGTGGTATGTGTTGTTGTCCTGGCTGTTGCTATGATAGTCATTCGTCGCTGTGGAAGCTCTGGTACATACAATAATAAATTAATCGTAAGATTAGATAAAATGTTAGACACAATTAAAACTAAAAGAATTATAATAAAGCTACAGTGAAGCGAATAACAATAATAATCAAATAATAATAATTATTAAAATAAAAAGGAATAATGCTTGTCAACATACAGACACTTTAATTTTTATTTTTTATTGTAAAATACTTCGTCTGGTAAAAACGTAGGTCATTCTTTTATAAAAAGATGATCATTTAAAAAGCATTTGATTGAAGCAAAGATAGCAAATTTGATTTTCCCTACCCTTTGTCAGAACCATAAATAGAAGACAGTCACTATGGGTATCATCCGCCTAATTATCTAAGAGGATATCTGCCTAGGTATCCATAAGGACAACTGCATAGTTATTCATGAGGATATCTGCCTAGTAGCCCTTAAATGTATCATCATTATCATTTGTCTCTAAGGAAACCGTAACCAAGATCCTAGCGATTTCAATCGCCAAGTTATTCATGACCACAACGTTCTCCAAGTTGACCATAATAATGTCCTTTGTTCATGAGAGTATCATTTGCCAGGTTGCCCCTGAGTGGATCAACCGATCATTTGTCCGTGATGTATCCTCTGCGAGTTGTCCTTGAAGGCATCATCCAGCTTTTTATTCCTGGTGATATTTTATATCTTGTGGTTTCAATTGTTCAGTTAGACCTGGTTGCATCATCTGCCAAGCTGTTTTTGAGTTTGTCACCCCCTATGATTTGTTTTGAGGGTATCTATGCCCAGTTTTTCCAGCGGGTATCAGCTATGTTGTTGCCCTTGATGGTATTATCTGCGATTGGTCACAGAGTATACAGTCGTTAACGAGATTTTACTTCACTTGATAATTGATGTTTTCATACTGTTATAATGTTTTACGTAAATAGCTTTTTCACATGTTCTCGGTTGTATTTTTATTCTCTGTTGTAGTTAATCAAAATATGCACATCAAATGTATTAAAATCGTCAAACATTTCTGTTACTGAGTATTATCCACATTTGCCTTACTTTTATCACCAGTCAGGTTGTTCTCAAGGGTATCATCATTAAGTTGTTGCTAGGATTGTCATCTATCCAACTGTTAATAAAGGTTATCATCTATCCAGCTACTACCGAAGGGTATCATCAACCAACATTGTCCCTGAGTAAATCATCCACCCATGTATACCCGAGTATCATCAAAGCCCATTTGTTCCTAAAGGTAACATCTGTCCAGTTGTTCTTGAGTATAACTCGCATATATTTTCTTTAGGGTATTATGCGCCCACTTGTCCCTGAATGTGTCATCCTATCATTGTCACTGAGAACATTATCTGCCATGTAGTACCTTTTTGGATAATCCGCCATGATGTTCATTTGTTATAATTCGCCAAATTCTCTATGCTGTTATTATCTTCCAAGTAATCTCTGTTAGTATTATCTGCTCAGTTGTTCCTCTGTGTATCATCTGCTTAGTAAACTCTGTTGGTTTCATCCTCCGAATAACCCATTTTTGGTATCATCCGCCCAGTAATCTCTGATGGTATCATCCACCCATTTCTACCTGAGTATCATCAGCCCATTTGTTCCTAAATGTAACACCTGTCCAGTTGTTCTTGAGTATAACTCGCTTTGATTTTCTTGAGGGTATCATGCGCCCACTTGTCCCTGAACGTGTCATCCTATCATTGTCACTGAGAACATTATCTGCCATGTGGTACTTTTTTGGATAATCCGCTATGATTTTCCTTTGTTATAAATTCTCTATGACGTTATTATCTTCAAAGTAATCTCTATTAGTATTATCTACTCAGTTGTTCCTCTGTGTATCATCTGCTTAGTGAACTCTGTTGATTGCATTCTCCGAATTAATCTTTTTGGTATCATCCGCCCAGTAATCTCTGATGGTATCATCTTCTGAGAAATCCCTGTTGATATCATCCACCGAATTGCCCTGAGCTTTCACTTATCCAGTTGTCCACAATGGTATCATTTACACAATTTGTCCCTAATTATATCATTCTCCCAGTAATAACTTTTGGTATCGAACCCCAGTTGTCCTTGAGAGTCCCCCCGATAATATATGATGAGGGTATCATATGCCTAGTTGTCAAAGTGGATATCCCAAACCAAATAGTCACTGAGGGTATGTTGGTATCTGCCATTTTGGATTGAGGTATCATAAACCAAGTAAACTCTGAGGGTATCATCTGCTAAGTTGACTCTGATGGTATCATCTGCCAAGTTGACAATGAGGGTTTAATTTTCCAAGTTTTCTCTGAGGTTGTCATCTACCACGTTGTCCACGAGATTATCTTCTGCCTAGTTGTCCTAATGGTACCTACGTCATATTGTCCATTTTTACTTCTTCTACTGGATCACTTTATGTATATTTCATACCCCAAGAGTATCGTCTACCAATTAGTCTATGTTTTAACTCTGACAATAATTAAAATATGATTATTGATTTACAGCAAAGTTGACCTTACTAGTTTATTGCTATCTTCTTTATAGATTATTATTAGTTTTATAGCCTTGTATTGATATATTCATACTGGGTTTCTAGACATTTTCTCTTATTGCTAAAATATTAAAATAAAACAAGACATGCACATCGAATGCAGCAAAATTAGTATATTTTATTTGGTTGGGATTTCATTTGGAAAATCTATAGATACTAGTGTCATCATCCTTCGGAAAGTCGGCCTTATATGGTTCTTTCTACTCTTTTTTGTTCCATTTATAGTTTAAAATTATAAATACTATATAGTAACCAGGTAAAGCATTGGTGTAATTGTGTTTTCTATCATATTTTTACAGTTATGGTTTAATTTCTTTGAGAAAACGTCTCTTACGTGTAGTACAAGTATTTCATTTAAATTCGTTCAGCCACTTTGTTCATCCAAATTGGTATAAGACCACCTTGTTTATCTGTCCTATTTATACAATATTTCCAGCCAAATTATCTAACGTTTATCTCGATGTGTCCCGTATTTGTCTGAATGATTGAATTAATCCTGTATTTTGAGAGAACAATATAAAATTTATGACAGTGTTTGTTAAGTTTTAGTGGGTATGCTGTTCTTACTTTGTTGTTAAATAATTGTAGCTAATCTATGCGTGAAGATTATTACAGAGAGGGAGAGAGATACTCATACCTAATATAAATAGCTATGATGTCACGGAATATTCTACTGTTTGAATCATTTCGCATCAAAAGTGATCATCAAATGAAGTTTCAAATGAACGTTAAAAGAGTTTCTACGGCTCAAAGGAAACATTCAAACGAAGGACAACCTGTAAAATGCAAACTATCTCTTCACTTCCTGAAAAATGCTAATTTGTATCCTTATAATAATAGATAAACTTATTTATCATTCTCTACTTAACGTCAATAAGCGTTTTTTGGTAATAATTCATCACAGATCCTGGTAAATCATCATAAGAAAAATCACTCCGTATCAAGATAGCTGGTTTGTTTATTTTTGATTTTATTAAATCATTTAGAATTATCCTGTTGTTTCTACTTCTCAAATGATTTTGCAGTTTGAAATTGTTTTGTAAAATACGAAAGGTTAAATTAAATCTGCTACAGTTTTTTTTTTTTTATTTAGAAACTTCTCGTGACAAAACAAAAGAAACACAAAAGGAAAGAAGATTAACACGGTAAATATTATATATATATTGTGTATAAATCATCGTTTTTTAAAGGATTTGTTTTATTGTCATAAAATTGTCTCATACTGTGGTACGTTATTTACTTGTTTGCAAGTCATAGACGGAAATTGGATCAAATGATTGACTCGAGTATAGAAGAAGTTTTTTACATTCACCAATCCAGCATAAACACCCATGCTAAAGATTGGCGTTCGTTTTACTGTGCAGATAGTATAATCACGCAACAGTGTGCGATCAGGATGGGGACATCAAATCTGATGCCTCATACAGGGAGAGTTTCTGTAGATTTAAGAACTTAAACATTTGTTGTGTTTTGCATACTGTTGTTTGTCGTTTGATCTTTTTTCTATTTTTGCCATGGCATTTGTCACTTTATTTTTCGACTTAGAAGTTTAAATGTCCCTTTGATATATTTTGCCTCTCTTTCGAAACAACTCTTTGAGTGGTTAGTGGGTTTCCCGTTGTAAAGCAAATTTCCTCTCCCTTTCCAACATACTTTGTCGTTTTCTGCAGTTTTGCACAGAATGCAATAATTTAGAAATCCTCGAACAAATGTGTTACAAAATTCAAAAATATGAATACTGATATCCGAGAGCCTAAAAAGGTATGTATATCTGAAGAATGTTATTAGGAAGATTTGTACAAAATAGTTGCCACATCATACGTTTTCATTTAAAAAACAAAAGTAAAATAACAAAAATACCGAACTCCAAGGAACATTTAAAACGGAAAGTCCCTTAACAATTGGCAAAATCAAAAGCCTCAAACACATCAAACGAATGAAAAACAACTGTCATATTTCTTACTTGGTACAGGCATTTCCTTATGTAGAAAATGGTGGATTAAACCTGGTTTTATAGCTAGCTAAATCTCTCACATGTATGACAGTCGCATAAAATTCCACTGTATTGTCAACAATGTGTGTACAAAACAAACAGACATAATAGGTAAAATGTCAAAATGTCAAAAATAGGTGTACAGCAGTCAACATTGTATCATAATCTTAATCACTATAAAACAAACAAATATGTCAACAAAGAAAAACAAAATGGCATATAGACAAAGCAAAAAAGAAAGACAAGAATACAAAAAATGAACATAGCACAATAATACAAGCCCTACTTTGTAATGAAATAACCCATTGTTTTATATAATAGTGTGTGGAATTAAGTGAAGTAATATGTGCAGGTAAACAGAGTGCTGAGACTTTAAACATTGATTAAGTGTGACTTAAATAATCCACATTATATTTTATGTTTTATAGAGTAAGAAGTGTACTGGAAGATGGGACGGTAGTTTATGATGAAGTCGATGATTCAAAATGGGTACAAGGTATGAATTATGTCACAGATATAAGTATTTGATTAAACTATTTATATGAATTCAGATGAAAACAGTTTTCTTGAAAAAGTGAATTGCTTTTACCTCTAAGCTTTCTTCTCCTAAAATTTGAATTTTCAAGAAAAAAATTGTCAAATTCGAAATAAAACAGTACATTTATATAATTCTGTATTTAGATATAAATTCATTTGAATACCTCTACTTCATTTTCTAACAGAAAAAAAAGAAAGAAAAGCAAAGAAGAAAAAAGTTGTGAACTGGTAAGCTATTTTTAAAACTGTTAGAAAGATTAACCTTAAACTCGGGAAATAATATGCATATTTTATTTTTTTTAATGGATAGTATTGGAAACAATATATTGGTATTACATATAAAAGTTTATTGTCGGATATTTCTTTGCAAAAACACATTTCAGTATACGAAGAATAACATGAATCGTGTATCGTCAAGAAAGTCTGTAAAACTTCAATTATGAACTTATGGTAAGAGTTCCATATGGCACTCCCACCATACTAAAAGAACATAATAATGTATTACAGTTTATTCCGTGTGGGTGCCATATGGAACTCTTTCCGAAAAAACGTAGATTTTACTTTGGCTAATTGAGTTAACCTATCAACGAGTAGCGGATCTAGATAAACAGATATTCAAATCAAGTTCTACGAAGGCCAAGCTTGAAATACAATACAGTTATCTCCATTCTAATGCCATATATAAAAATAAGTTCCATTTTATCAGATATTTTGTCTTAAAGAACACAAAATACTTTGAATTGTTAAAAATGAAATAGAACAACCATAAAATAATCTACATTTTAATTTACTATGGATAACCAACCTGAAAACATATTTTCTTTCAATTTTGTGTAGTAATGTACCTGAGGCATATGAGGATGTTGGTGTAAAGAATCCCGGACAGAGTTATGAAATGCTACATAAGCACAACAGTAAATCAAAGCGTAAGAATAACATTTATTATTTTACTTTATTATTTTTCATATCTAAAATGCCAGGTCTTGATTGGTTAATACGAGGGAGATAATGTACTCTATTCCATGGCTTATATTCTTTTATCCATCACGGAGACGCTTGATCAATTGTGCGCTTTATTAAAAACGAATGGTTCTAATGTACAAGACTTCACAGTTTATTACTTTCAATTTAAAATTTGAGGACAAAAATATCAACAAATTCAGTATAATGAATTAAATAGCTCACAGTTGAGAAGGGGATGGAGCAGAGTGTTACCCGAGAAAACAGCGCCAACCGAGACGAAGCTATGTGTTATTTATAAATGTATGCTCCAGAAGTAAAACCAGTGGTTTAATTTAACCACCTATATATCTGTCCACTCAATAATCTATACCAAATCCAAACAATCTTGATTGTGATTCACTACAAGTCTTTAATTTATATATACACAGTATGATGACATGTTTAAATTATAAAAATTAGGAGCATTATTATAATGATACAAAAAGTATTTACGTATTGAAATAGTCTCTAAACAAAATTTGTGACATTGAGCTCTATTAACAGAACATGCTTAGGTTGTTAAAGATGTAATATTGACATATGTGATAATGAGAATTGGTTGCAGGTTTCCTGTTAATAAAGCGCGGATTAAAATATATCAAGCAAATCTGCGCTTCATATAGGATTTATCCGGTCCACTCTTTTCAAATATTTTGAAATTATTTTCAGCATTTTTCCGCAAAAAGTCTTCAAAAGTTGCAAAAAGGTGAGTAATAAAACAAAAGTATCCATATTATAATAGATCAGTGAGGATTATTGTGCAGACTTGCATCATAGCATTGTTATGATTTAAATGAAACATTCAAGGCATAAAAACAAAAACAATTGCAAGTACTATAAATAAAGGCAACAGTAGTATACCGCTGTTCGAAATTCATAAATCGATTGAGAAAAAACAAATCCGGGTTACAAACTAAAACTGCGGGAAACAAATCAAATACAAGAGGAGAACAAAGACACAACTGAAATACTAAAATGCAACACACACAGAAACGAACTATAAGATAACAATAGCCATAATAGCTATAATAATTTAATAATTGCTAATAAAAAGTAAAATCACAAAAATACTGAACTCCGAGGAAAATTCAAAAAGGAAAGTCCCCAATCAAATGGCAAAAGCAAAAAAACAAACACATCAAACGAATGGATAACAACTGTCATATTCCTGACTTGGTACAGGCATTTTCTTATGAAGAAAATGGTGGATTGAACCTGGTTTTATAGCTAGCTAATAACAACGTCTCGTGATATTCTTCATTTTTGTCGGTCGTTCATTCACTTGTATAACTAGGGAATATTATTTGCTTTTCCAGCGAATGTTATACGAAGAAAGTAGCGACCATCAATACCACTAGTTGTCCTTTTATTGTTGTTCTATTTTTGCTGTTAGGTTGATGTGCTACTGGTTTATACGCAACTTCTCATCGTTATCAAGGTTCATTTGCGTAACTTAGAACTTTTTTGATATCATAAATTATAAAACTGCAAATTTAAAAATATGTTTTTTCCCAACAGGATGGAAATACTGACAACTAGCGGTCCATCGGGCACTCAAGAAAACCTATACTCAACCAATTCTTCAAACTCCGATCACTACGACAATACAGCGATTAAACCGGACGTTAAAACAAGTTTGTCTAAAAATAAAATATCCCTTCCAAAAAGAGAGAATAAGGGTGACAGTATTGTTGTATACGATGATGCGATTTCCAATGACAAATTAGTTATAAGCTGCAAAGCTACTGTTCATGAACCCTGCGAGTATATCACTATGAAACCTAAGGATAAGGAGGATAGAAGTATGATGAATAAGGAGGATAGAAGTATGAAGGATAAGGAGGATAGAAGTATGAAGGATAAGGAGTATACAAGTATGAAATCAAATGGTAAGTTTATCTTCTCCTGTAAAAGAGAGGAGAAAGATACCAAAGGAATATTACAACTCATAAGTCGAGAACAAACTGACAAAGCCATGGCAAAAAAACGAATAACTACGAAAAAACAAAATACAGTACAAAAAACACAACACAGAAAACCAAAGACTGAGCAACTGTAGTTGACAATATCGACGTTTATTCTATTGTTTTTTGTCAAGCGCAGAAAGCTCAACATAGGGATAGTGATCCGTCGGCGGCGGCGGCGGCGGCGGCGGCTACGGCGGCGGCGGCGGCTACGGCGGCGGCGGCGTTAGCTAACTTCTTAAAAGCTTTGTATTTGAGAAGGTGGAAGACCTGGATGCTTCATACTTTGTATAAAGATGCCTTATGTTACGAAGTTTCCGCTTGTCACATGTTCATTGTCCATGACCTCATTTTCATGGTTCAGTGACTACTTTAAAAAAAAGTTCAGATTTTTTGTAATGTTAATTTCTCTCTTTAAATAAGTAATAGGATACTATATTTGGTATGTGCGTACCTCGCAAGGTCTTCATGCCCGTCAGACAGTTTTCACATGACCTCGACCTCATTTCATGAGTCAGTGAACAAGGTTAAGTTTTGGTGGTCAAGTCCATATCTCAGATACTAGAAGCAATAGGTCTAGCATATTCGGTGTATGGAAGGACTGTAAGGTGTACATGTCTAACTGGCAGGTGTCATCTGACCTTGACCTCATTTTCATGGTTCAGTGGTTATAGTTAAGGTTTTGTGTTTTGGTCTGTTTTTCTTATACTGTATGCAATAGGTCTACTATATTTGGTGTATGGAATGATTGTAAGGTGTACATGTCTAGCTGGAGGGTGTCTTCTGACCTTGACCTCATTTTCATGGTTCAGTGGTCAATTTTAAATTTTTGAGTTTTGGTCTTTTTTTCTAATACCATAACAATAGGTCAACTATATTTGGTGTGTGGAAATATTTTATGATGTACATGTCAATCTGGCCGGTTTTATTTTATCTTGACCTCATTTTCACGGTTCAGAGCTCAGTGTTAAGTTTTTGTGTTTTGGTCTGTTTTCCTATTACTATGAGCAATAGGTCAACTATATTTGTTGTATGGAAGGATTGCAAGCTGTACATGTCTGCCTGGCATGGTTCATCTGACCTTGACCTCATTTTCATGGTTCATTAGTCAATGTTTAGTTTTCTTGGTTAAGTCTGTATCTTAGAAACTATAAGCAATAGGTCAACTATATTTAGTGCATTGAATGATAGTAAGGTGTACATGTATTTCTTGTTTGGTTTATATGACCTTGACCTCATTTTCTTGGATCATGTTAACTTTATGTGATAGTTGTAGTAAAGCTACATATTTAGAACTATCAAAATAATATCAATGATTAGTAAAGAAGGCGAGACATTTCAGCGTTTGCACTCTTGTTTATATCTATTCTTGGTTGTATAAGTCACAAATACTGATTGACAATTTAAAGTGGTAAATGTTAAAGTATCAGGAGAAAAAAATGCCTAACTGAATGGTATATGCATTTTATATCAGAAATTATTTCGGTTACTCAGATTGCTTAGGAATTGTAATCCTTTGAAAAGTTTTTATACCATAAAGACACTCTTTGTAATAGTACACATCTGTTAAGCTGTTTTTCACTTGATCCCTTTAAAAAAGAATCACCTTAAAGACCAATTGTATCATAATCTCGTCTTTACGTACTTATTTATTTGTTGTACTTATGGTGTTCTAGATACGTCGACGGTGGTCTAGCCAATACTAAAATAGGATACAGTCTTCTAAAGGCAGACAAGAAAAATGTAGTTTTTGCCAACGTTTTTGCATACATATCTTTTGTGAGATTTATACTCTGTTTTGATTGTGAATTTTTTTATTTCAGTGACACAAGGAAAGGACGATGGAGATATTGAAGAAGCCTTATATGTTAATTTGAAGCTTAGATAATGTAGTTGGTTGCGATTTCGATTAAAAAAGAAGTATTATTATGTATATCATAAATTAGCATTTCTATTTATAATATAATTTCTTTTCATCTACACCGGGATATACTATCGACAAAATACACGTCAGTTCATGTTCAACGAAAATCATTTGCATCAATGATCATGAAGTAATCCCTTTATTATATTTTACACATCAGTATAAGCTTTACATATTACATTCTTGATTTGTATTAGAGTATTAACTAGATACTCTTACGGATGTTAAAAAGAAGTGTATTAGTCTATTACCTAGACACGTTCAGTGTGGGGTATATTTTGCTTTCTTTTTGACGTTTCAACAGATGGAATCTTTTAAAATCTGTCATATGAGAGTAGCAAATCGGACCAAGCTGTGTCGGATGGGCTGTTCGACTTTGGTATCTATTCCCAGAATTGCATTTTTGCACAGAATATTTTATTGAACACGAGTTTGAAATCTTGTGGTAAGCGGCAAGTTCGAGCGTTATGAAAACACATGAGCATGACTTTATCCCATTGTCCTAGCTTTTGTAATCAGTGGTATATGTATATATGTTTTTTTAATCAAGCTGTAGACAAAATTACTCATCAAAGATACCAATCTTTTAATTTTGTACGCCTGACGCGCGATTCGTCTACAAAAGTCTCAATAGTGACTTAGTGCGATTCCTTTTCGAGATGTCTAGAAATTTTGAGTTACTCAGGAAAACAATTTGTTCCTTAGTTTTGTCCTCTAAAAATGGTACAAGGAGAGTTTGATTGTTTACAAACTTTAGCAGTTTAAATCGCGTTTCAATTATTTTACTCAATCGCTACCTTATCCCATCGATGTCTTCATAGATCTATATCGCTTGGACTTTTTGACCTCTTTGAAAAGACATGGAATTGGTTTAGGGAACTAGAGAAGTTATACTTTTCTATCTCTTGATTGTTCCGCCTTCTGGACGGTGTTACACTACCTTTCAGTTTAACAAAGACATTATAAACACGACTTTGTTGTACCTTTCAGATCTTAGGTTATTAATACAAAGAAAAACTATCTGGATTTCATAAATTACGATCGACTAAAATGTACAGTTTTTTAAAGTTTCAACTGTTGTGTTTAAAATGCTTTATTTCTGTTATCTAATGAGATATAAAGACAGGTAAGATGTAAAGACAAATGTGAAAGTACAAGAAAGACAAGGCAACAAGCCTGTAAAAACACACTACTACTCTTATTACAATATAGTAAGGAAATATTAAAAAGGAGCCATATTTGGAGAAAACTTTAAATGTTTTTTTAAATTTCCTATTTTCATTATTAGCACTTTCACTTATTAAGCAAATAGTAGTTATTATTTCCACAAATAAACAAAACCCTGTCAAATTACGGAATAATGACTGATTCTATTTCCGTGCCAATTACCTTATAAGTTGAAAATAGGACAAAAAAACTATTTAACATGAACTGCCTGATACACGGTTTCATAGCATTTGTTATGGTCTTTATGATGAAATAAACACACATTTAGCTGACAATTCTAAATTTTAGAATAAGATGGTATAATTTCGTTTTCAATTGTCTTCTAAATACGGTCATTGGCAGTTTTGCAAAATCTTTTAGAACTTCTTCTTGGTATCTCTCCCTAAATCAAGTACTTCACTTATCTTAATATTTTGTTTTCAAATTACAAACTTAAAGCTATTTCAATACAATCAGTCAAAATTTAACTAGAACTAGACTGTTGTGCTTCCTAAAGAGGGGTTAATATTAATGATAAGATGAGTCGTGCATTACATAAATAATGCAATAGATGCATATGTTTGTTTTGGTAGATCACCCAATTTTGTCAATATAACGGGACTATAAACAACTGTCATAAAAGTGAGAGGTTTAGCTAGCTATAAAACAAGGTTTAACCAACCATTTTCATCGGAAAATACCTATACCAAGTTATGAACATGACGGTTGTTTTTCACTCGTTTAATTGGTTGATAACGTTTTATTTTGCCAGTTTTTACGGACTTCCCATTTTTGGATTTACCTTGGATTTCGGTATTCTTGTTTTTCTTTTTTATCAAGAGGAGTATGGTGTTAGTGGTTTGTGGGGTCTGTTGAAGTGCCCAGTTGTTAAACGATTCCTGTTTTCTTTTAGGCTGAAATACTTAGGTTGAATCCATTTCAAGTAAAATTAACCTTCGACGATTTATCGTACGCACCAAATTTATAAAGTGGTACTTTCTTTTTTTTTGGCTATTCAGTATAGGACCATTCGCTTTTGATGTATTTGGATACTAATTTTGGGTCCATAGCTGAAATAATGTACAGTGTTTGTCAGATAACTCACCATACAGTTTTTAAAAAGTTTCCATGAATTTAAAAGAGACACTTAAAACCAATCTCTTACTATTAGCAAACTTATACTTTCACCGTTGTGTGTTGTTGATGTAAATTCTACAGTAAGTATTACTTGACGTAAACCGTCATATGCATATATTGCATTATTTATGTTATGCACGACTCATCTAATCATTAATATTAACCTCTCTTTAGGAAGCAAAACAGTCTAGTTCAGGTTAATGTGACAATAATTGGGATCCAGAACTTTGTACACATACTTCACAGACATTCAACACAGCTGTCTAATCCAAACAAACATCCAAACAAACATACAAATAAATCTAACAAGGATGCCATCAAAAAAGATATTGTAGTTGCTAATAAATTTGACACAGACTCCAGCAAAAAATTTTGTAGTTGATAGTATATTAAGAAGGACGCCGATAAAAAAATGTTTTGTATTTGATAGGACATACCGTATATGGTATACAATTTCTCGTTAAAATACAAATCAAGTAAGAGATAAATACAATGGTAAACAAATTGGAAACACACATTAAAAAGGTTTTGCGTCCAAATCGCACCTCAGGTCTCACCTGTACCAGGAACGCACATGTTTGACGTTCAAACAAAGACAAACAATAACGAACAACATTGGCTTAGATATCTTGACTTGGTATAAATACACAATTTGGTAGGGTCAAACCAGTTTTCATGCACACAATATTAGATGGATTTGGAAAAACTGTTGCAAATGAACAAATAATCAAAAAAGTTAAAAAGGCAAAAAAAAAAAACTAAGTTGAAAAGCATTGAGGACCCAAAATTCCGACCGTGTTTGTCAAATAAGGCTCAGGTAATGTATTCCTGTGTAGAAAATCCGTAGTAATTTCGTAAGATTCATAGTTTTGTAAACAGATCATTTATACTTATGACCATATCAACGATAATTCATGTCAAAACAGAAGTGGTGACTACTAGGCTGGTAAAATCCTCGGGGAGGAAACCTCCACAAGCAGTGGCGTCGACCTAGTTGTTGTAAACAAGCTCATTACAGATACCAGGCTTTAAAAAGAGAGGCGAAAGATACCAAAGGGAAATTCACACTAATAAGTCGAAAATAAACTGACAATGCAATGGCTACAAAAGACAAAGACAATCAGACAAGTAACAGTACAGAAAACACAACGTAGAAAACTAAAGACTTAGCAACACGAACCCCACCAAAAACTGGGGTGATATCAGGACTCCGACAGGGTTAACAGATCCGGCTCCACATGCAACACCCCTAGACGCACGTTTCATCAGTGACGCTCGAAAAAAAAGTAAAAAAAGGCCGTACAAAGTTAAAGAGCATTGAGGATCCAATAATCCGAAAGATTTCGCCAAATACAGCCAAGGTAATCTTTTTCTGTGGTTGAAAAAATTTCGAAAAATTCAAAGTTTTGTAAACAGATAATTTAAAATTATTACCATATCAATGATAACTCATGTCAATACAGAAGTGCTGAATACTGGTCTGATGATACCCGCGGCGAGGAAACCTCCACAAGCAGTAGCATCGACCCATTTGTTGTAAATAAACTCATAAACTAAATGATGTCCATGTTGAACCATCGACTACCAATTTTGTTAATTACAAAAAAATAAAACGATTTTGATAAACGACTGTATCAATATATTCGAAGTATGTTTTGTCACCTGATCTATAGTGTAGAATAATTGTAGTTGCTTGAAATTTTGACAAATATTATTTCGAACAGCGGTATACTACTGTTGCCTTTATTTATGTAGTACAATAAATAATCTTTAAAAGATAAGCAAAGGTTAGTATAAGGTACCGGCTTAACAAGTGCTGTTTCTTTGGCAGGGTTATATGTACAAAGATATCTCTGTTTTTACCTCTCTGCTGTGGTACTTGCCAGAACGTATATAAATTTTTTTACCTTCACAGGGACGTTTGATTGTGTACACGCTATGATAAATGCGGTTGGCTTTGCTACTTTCTTAATGGCGAAATTTTATACGGAAATAACTGTGAAATATTTAACTAAACCATCTCTATTGATATTCGGTGTTATTAAACAGAAGTAGAGCCAAAAAGTCTTATAATCTCTACTCAAATTCACAGTTTCACAGCCCTATGTGTAAACAAACTTCAAGGTTTTAACAAAACTATATCATATTTCAGTACAGGTTACAAAATTGTAAACGCCTGAAGATACATGTAGATCAAAACCGATATTAAGACAGGTTATGTAGGTTTGGAGTATTTATCATATAGATAATAAAAATTCATCAAACATACCATACAAAAATATATTCCTGAACAAACACAAAATTCTGTCGGAAGTAACACTATATATTGTCTTTTGGGTTCACTTCAACTGCGATGCAATATTTTACAAAAAATGAAAATTTACATTTTTGTTCATAATGTCTTCAACGCCACCTATAGCGTTTTTTAATAAATGGAAATATTTATATTAAAATAAAATAAAGAATTAAGTAGTTTATATACATATACTCTTAAATATTCATTTTGCAGTGGGATTTGAAAATGTTTGAACCCTGTGAGTGAATAAAAAACAGAGCAAATCAGTCCTACCTGTTTCATATAAAATTGTTTTTACATTTTATCAATATTTCGTTTCTGAAATTATTGTATTTAAAACAAAAGACACCGTTGTAAATATTTTGAACAAAATATTTAGATATACTTATAGTTTAAAAAGTTTGATCGCAATGACAATATAAACACGCAATTACAAACAATGAATACAAATGACTACAAAATGTACATCTTTTGAACAATGGTGCGTTATATTTTGTACTTATTATTCTTCAAAGAACAATGCCTGATCTTCTTGGTCTGATAATTATTATTTATTATTTGCTTTACCATAATTTAGTTGATAATAACCTTAACTTCCCTGTTAACTTTCGACTTTCGATTCGGGATTTTTTTCGGAAGACATACATAAAATGACAACTATAAGTGTAAGAAATATCCTACTATTAGTTGGTATTATTTTCTGTATTCAAAGTAAGTAATAAAGCTATATACTATGCAGAATTTTAAAGATACAATTTTTAGAAAAAAAATATGTAGTAAAAGAGAGAAATGAATTATTTTCAGACGGCAATTTTATATTATTTGACGAATAAAAGTTCCTCGTGATAAAACATTAATTTATTTCAGTTTTCGGTTTCGGAATTCTTTTTGTCCAAGTGAAATAAAACGTAAAAAATAATACGAATATTAAAGAAAAAATAATATTAGAACAATAATAATCATAACAATACCAATACAAGTTACAATGTAAAGTGTGGTAATATGAAAGTGATGGAACATATGAAAATGACTTTGGTATAACGGTTAACTTACTGTTTAGGACTCGTATATGTGTGACGGTGCACGCACAGGACGAGATGATCACCCATTAGACGAACCTGGTCTTGCTCCGTTTGGGATTAAGCGATTCAATTGTTTCACTGACATATTCCCCGTTTTGTACCTGAACTTTTTATGAAAATACGGATATTGTTTTGATTGAAATGTGCTGTATTAATTTTTTGGAAATCATTTTAAATCAATAGATATATCTCCCTCATGCAAAGCTCTGATTCCTTGTCCGGATTTGGCTATACTTTAGATCCTTTTTGGTTTGATAAGCTCTTCAACGTTTGTATTAGGTTTTGAATTTGCAAATGTTTTGGCCTCCAGCATCAATGAAAATACATAAGTGCACATATAGTGCCTAGTGCAGTAAAATTGGTATCGTTTATGTTATTGAAATATAGTGCGAAGTAAAACCTAAAAATAAATTCAAGAAAATGTGAAATTTGAATACTTTATGGTTGTGGCCTGTTATTAATTGCCTGCATCAAGAGTTATTTCTCGAATCACTCTGAACAGAGCGTGATACAAAAATGCACTAAATTTGTTGGCTTATCTTGCAATGTTTTACAAAATTTCGAGATTTCCATTTACTATGACGGCTTTCAAAGATCACAACTGACAATTAGTCACCCTTGGCAACAGCATATTGTTAATTCTTCAATAATATGAAAACATTCGCATGTTTCACCTGGAATTATTCTTTTTATCAAACGTTAAGGGGCATTAAGGCGCTTTTTGGTGCCAAGAAATTACTTTTTGAGATCTTTTTCAAATCTAAACATAATGTATAAAAATGCATAACCATAATGTAAATCCTTTACATGAAAATGAAGGAAAATGCTGAAATCATGCAAAATCTTTTAAATTTGAGCTAGTACTTTGATTCCATTCTGAGGCAAACAAAAAACTTGAAAACATCTAATATTAACAGTAGTCTAGTCTGGGTTTCTGATACAATATTTTCAATTATATTCAAAGTGAAATCGAAAATTAGTTACCAGGACCCCCAAAAAAATCCCTTAGACAAATATGTTTAACAACTCGTGATGATTAGATATCGCTTGATATCATCTTTCACTATTTAATTTCAATAATTATAATAAACTCCCACGGCACATTTATTATCAAATTAAAATGCGTTATAGTATTTAATTATTCATTTTGCATTAAAGGAAATGTTTGACTGACAGAAATTATGTTCTCATTAGCTAAATATCACGTACTACACAGAAAGTTAATCACCCTGCTAAATTCAAAACCTCACGCAGTACTCTAGCCCTAGTTTCTAATTTGAAGGACAAGCATTTGATTTATATAACTAAAAAGTTCTTAAAATACTTGATTTATTATCCATTAAAATATTTCTTATGATTTCAAAAAACATCTGGTTTTTGACTCGACCAATGTTTGGTTGAACGACGTAAAATAAACACTTAAAGGAAAATGCGTCCTGATTTTTTTTAAATAACGATAAATACACACATTTATAAAAATTGTATAATTTGCAGTATCAAATGCAAGTGGAGATTTAAATAAAAATCTTCAAAATGGCTTAAATACACTAAGCAGTTTAAAGACTAGACTGTGATGTTTATGAATACAACATGTAAGTACAGTGTGATGACAAATATAATTTAACCTGGTCTTCTTATAATATATTACGTTGTAAAATTCATTAACTCAAAAGTGAGGGATAAATAAGTAATAATATAACATTTTGTTTCATATGAAAAAATTTATTTCCTTGTTTTTGAAATAATTCTTTCAATTTAATAGTTCCATGACTGAATTTTTCTGAAAAGAGAATATAATACAAGTCAATATAAGAAACACAATTACAGACTAAGAATACACTTTTAATGGTAGTATTAAAATATTTGCTACAATAAAAGCGCTGTTTACTTTGTTTTTTCTAGTTTGTGCAGCAGACACGATTTAATACACTGGACCCTTCCTTTTCTTTGTAGACAAGTGTTAAGCTAAGGGGTTACCATTTGATTTTTTGGGGAGGGGCGGGAGGATTTTGGAAAGAAATGGCCTGGCCTACTAGGAACTAAAAGAAAATCATTTGCTTAAGACAGTATGAAAATCAATATTCTGCACCACAAAACGCAGGAAATCAATTGTGTATAAATGTGGAAATAAATAAATAAGCCGACATAGCAAGAGGTTGAAATGAATATTCCACCCGCAAAAGTTCATAATAACTGTGATATGTAACCATTTATTACCTTTTTCTGTTTAGTTCAAACAGCGTCAGCACAATGCTCTCTTCAGACGTTGTGTATAGAAATGAAAATAGTGGTGATTGGTTGTGGTACTGTTGCTGTTGCTGCTATCATAGGCTTTGTTGTTCTTGCATGTAGAGGATCCAATCGTGAGTTTTCTTTATCATGGTTAAGATTTTAAAGTAGTGATTGAATTTTAGCCTGAAAGGATTATTTTGATATAAAACAATCTGAAATACGTTTACAGAAAATTCGTCACTTGTTAAGATATTGAATTATTTATCAGATATTTTCATAACGTAGTATTACTGTCTAAAATCTGACTGAAAAATAACTGAAAGAATTTCACTTTTTTTTTTGCACTAATTTTGTTTTTATTATAGGAAGAGAAACTCCGAAGAAGCAACAACCAAACGTTAGAAAGTCCAAGTACGTTATTTCTTTAAAATTTGGTGCCGCACATTAAATACTCTCCGAGTCACAGGTTTCCAATCCACTACGGTTTTTTTCTAAAAACATCGCAAATTCTAGCGAGGTAGAATTTTTGTAAAATGTAAAAATATTCGAAACACTATGGTTTTTCTACCCAAAGGCATAGATTGCCTCAGTCGTGTTTGACACAACTTTTAGGAATTTTTAGTTTTAAAGCTCCTCAACTTTATTTTTGATTTGGCCTTTCAACTGTTTTGAGCCGATCGCCACAATTGACGTTTTTGTAGACGAAACGCGCGTATCTGGCGAACCAAATTATAAATCTCCCCATTTAACGTGCATAGAAACCTCGCCTTTAGCCTATCTAGAACTATGTCGGAAAAGACAAACCTGCACAATTCATCTTCCAACTGGATGACCACCTGAATAGGAAAATAAAAGACGGTGCATAATTGAGACAGCAGGGTCAAAGCATGCTCGCTCTAGCTAAAAAGGAAGCTACAGCTGTTGGTGAATACTGTCTCTCAAGAAAAGAAAGAAATCATATAAAACACTTCCTATAGGTTTCATTAAGTCTAAATATAAAATTAAAATAAAATCGGCAGTACTTTTGAGAGGCCCGTAAGAATCTAAAATCGTTTTGAAAAAAGGGAGGGAAAAAGGTGTATTTATTTTATTTTATTTCATCTGATAAGTCAAGCCTTTTGCAAATGATATTTACAGTTTGTTATAATTTGGTTTGCAACACTATTGCCCCAAGTTAGGAAGTGTTGAGGGTTTCCCTCTTTATTAAAGATTAAGTTTTAACGAAAACATAACAATACAAAGTAGGGTGCAAAATGCAGTTTAACATTATTTTACGAGAAACAATACATTTACAGACAAGATGATGATAATGACTGTTAAAAGTGTTGAAATAGTTCAAGGAATTTATTACTTGGATTGTTAATTATGGCTTGGAGAGGGTAACAAAATTTTATTAATTTTTAAATTCTATCAAGTAAAGTTTCTGTTTAAGGACAGAAATGAACGCAGAGAATATGTCAAACAAGTCAGATGCGTTTAGCTTGGGATATGTAGAAGTTCTGTTTATAGGAAGTGAAGTGAAAATGTAAAAAAAAATTAAGACCTGCTTTCCTTTTTTTGGAGAATACATAATATATGGTATACCTGTACATGGTTTTTTTATTATTTCAGAATAAAAAGCGTTGTTGTCTACGATGAAATTGATGAACCAACAGTTAACGGTAATATACACTTTTATAGTATATTGTTTGAGGAATAAAATTATCTGGTATTCTTTTATTTGTTTTAACTATTTCAGTGCCCACAAAATATCATCGTTCAATATTAAGAATATTTCAAATAAAACCCCATTTTATGTGTTTGCATATTGCGTTTTATAACAAATACCTGTGATAATATCAAACTTGTAAAATTACACCTATTTCTTAAATAGTTGTTTCATGTCGACGAATAACTCATTATTTTAATAAACGACTACACATTACTTCAACAACATTAATCCCGTATAAAACGAATGAAAAATGAGACATCATAAGGAAAAAAAGTTATCGAGATGCCCGATCATAGAACATTCATACTAAAGGTAATAATGTTTTATATGATGGATCAGTTCAATGATCACATCAAAACTATGGACGGGAAAACAGTCAAATCATATATGTTATAATGGAGTGGGACCAGTGAAAATGTCAGTTACAATATCAGATAAACATACATGAAAAAACTTTTGAAACCAATCTTAATGCGCCTCAACAATTGTTTTTGGTATACCTTCATAAATACGCTCGTGACCAAAAGTATGGAAACCAAATCATTCTAGTGTGTAAGCTTCAAGTAAAAGCATAGTATATATCGTATTACCTGAAGCGGAGGAAGATGGTATAATATATATAATACTCTTAATATATATATTTATTACATCTTACATCGTTAATGGACAATTAAAAATTACAATCAATGACAATTGTATGATTGCAGTATGCCCTCGAAAAACTTTTCTCTTTTTAATAATTTATAATTGTCCATTAACGCCAACTTTTTAAAAGATGTTTAGATATGAAGCTGACCATCTCGTCTCTGTAGGATTAGTTACTGTCATACACGTGAAAGATTTAGCTAGCTTTAAAACCAGGTTTGATCCACCGTTTTCTACATAAGGAAATGCCTGTACCAAGTCAGGAATATGATAGTTGTTTTCCATTCATTTGATGTGTTTTAGCTTTTGGTTTTTCCATTTGATAAGGGACTTCCCGTTTTGAATTTTCCTTGGAGTTCGGTATTTTTGTTATTTTACTTTTTACTTCAAATACATTTAGATATTAGTACTCAGAAATAACTGATAATTTAAGCTTGATTGCAACGTCAGTTTACCGGAAACTTATTTTTAAGGGTTGTCAGAAGATTTTTCTTCTTGATTTTAAACAGTTTTTCATATGCCTTGCTTATTATGAAAAGAAAGATAAGGCGATTAAAATGGTGACATAATTTGTTATAGAATATTATTATATTTAAAAATGCTGTTGTGTAAAACGCCACTACAAATAAACTACCTATTTTAAAAGCTAACTTGATTCTACGTGCATGTGTGACATCATGTGTGAACTGAGTTCAAACATAAATTAAATCGTTCATATGAAACAGCACATTTGTTTTTATTTCTATTATAGAAAAACAAAAGAACAAGGAAGATAACAGGTAATCAAAAAAATTTAGGAAAGTTTTTTGTTTTTTGTTCGTTATTGCTGTTAATTGATGGTGTGTTCTGGTTTATCTCCGTCGGTCAATCCGTCCGTCTGTACGTAACACAATCAGTTGCATTGTTTCAAACACTACAAGTCGTTCTTACTTGATATATTGGACCAAGCTTCATCTGGATTTGCTATATTGTAAGACATGTTTGCTTCCTTCTGGACCCAAACATATATTTAAGATGTCAAATTTGCAAAGCTACTACAAGTTCATTTGTTAATATATGTGTTGTAAAAATAGTGAACGAACAATATTTCACAATTTAACTTTTTTTTTAGCTTTATATCATTTAGAAATGAAAAGAGTAATAAACCAAAATATATTTAATGTGAACATTAACATACAGCTTTTATAAAAAAAATATTAATATAATAATGAAAAAAGGAAATAAATAAGCAGTATTTTAATTGTCAACATTTTCTATGTAACTATATCTTAGTTTGAATTGAACAAGGTTTTTTTTTATCCTATAATTGAATTCTAAAAAAACCAAAATATTACATTCAGTATTTTTGTATTACACATGCAATTTCGTAAGCAACTTGTGTGATTTTTTTTAGAAAGTGTTCATCTAGTTATGCTGCTAAGGTGATTTTCATTTATTCATTATTTTAAACTTGTTTTCCAATCTAATATATTATAAATTTTTCAGGTATAGATATGAAGAAGTAGTTATCAAAAGAAATAGTGGCTTGAACTATGATGACCTCGTGCATAGACGACGTAAATCTAAAAGTAAGCTTGCCATGAATGATCTTTAATATGTGGCCGAAACGGCAACAGGAGTTGAAAGGCAATGCCCTTTTTTGCTAATGTTTCATTTAGAATGTTAAAATCATTAACATGAATTTTGTCTTGAAATCCATTCAGAACAAATTTGATTTGTATTGTATTTGAATGACTACGTATATATTACTTTTTCAAAAATAAAACAGTCAAATACATAATCTTGTACATTTTACCAATAGTAATTTTTTTTTATTAATAATCAAAGATCATTGGTTTGATAGTATCATTTGCACCTCGATAAAATGTTGAATTAATTGAATGAAATAAGTTTCATAAAAAAGAATGAAGACGGACGTAGATAAAACAATATTGCGTCTGAGGAAAGGAACAACTATTCTTTGTGTAATTAACCACTCTGAATCTAGAAAAATATTTTATACAAAGACATAATAAAAAACATATTTTTTATTGAAAACATATTTGCTATGTTTGGCTGGTATGATAATCAAACGACAATCGGCATTCTTGTGAGTAGCACGACGGATGCTACTAGTAGACCAGGAACTACTGATCCTTCCGAAACAACTGATTTTACGGATTTTGGCGGGTTCGGTGTTACTCAAATCCTTAGCTTTCTTTTAGCGTTTTATTCACCTTTTTTTATATCCTAATACCAGGGCGATTGTCCTTTTTTTTCTCCGTTTTTTTTTTTTTTTTTTTTTTAATTATGCACTGTTCATGAAGCAATGGTACTTTACCGAAAGGTTGACAGATCTGTTTAAGAAATCAATTCTATTAATTTTCACTCTCAATTACAGTAGGAGATCAGATTAACAGCACACTATTTTAACTTGTTTGAATAACAACTGTTTTTTTATCACTGCTATTTCTTTGTATTACAGTTCCAACACCAAAAGGGCTTTTCAAGAAAAAACGAAGGTAAGTCATTAATAGTATATTTCAGTTTCATTAAAGAAAAAATATAAAAAAGCAATGATATTTCAATGGTCTTTTTTACGATGGATTATTAAGGGGGAACACACACTAAAAACTGCAACGTAGAGTACTTTACGATTGGTTCGAAAAGAAAAACAAACATTCACAGGGACCAATTCAATAACCTGGAACCAGCTGTCATACTCCTGATAAAGGTATGGTCCTGAAAATGTGGTGCAGCCCGAAAAGGTTAACGGAAAATGCCTGTAGCAAGTCAGCAATATGACAGTTGTTTTTTATCAGTTCCGTTGGTTTCTCATGTTCAACGTTCGATTTTGTCAGGTTTTATGGACGTCCCCTCTACCTTGGAGTTCGTTATATTTGTTATACTTTTTTATACCCTAAACCTTCCACTGCGTGACAATAACTACAACTACTCCTATACGAATTTTATATAGTATTAAATTAATTCAAGTTCAATATTTGAACTTTTAAGATGAACAAATTACAGGTCAGCGTCGTCTGACAGTTTTAATTTACATTTTGAATAAATAGGTACTTGTAATTAAAAGGATTATGTCGTATATTTAGACCTGAATGCATGTTAAGTTAGTCTAAACTGATGCAAGATCAAATGCAGTGGCAGAAGCGTTTTTTGCTTCAAGTGTGAGATGTCACGTTGTGACATAAATAATTTTTTTTATAAAAAAAATATTTTCAAAACTATAGAAACTATGAGTACAAATCAATTCAATTAACTAAAATTGTTCCAGGGGCATACGTAAGATTTATTCACTCAGTATAAAGAAAAGAAAAATAGATCGTTTCTATATAGTTTTGCATACAACCTACACACTGCACACTCTGGATAGTATCTCGGTTGAAGTAAAATCAGTCTGGAAGCAAAGATATTTAACAAATATGAAATAACAATGAAGAAAGAAATACGAAAACGGCAATATCAGATCTGATATGTGCTGTTTACCTGTGCAATGAGTGTAACAGCGTTATGCATGGTTGGTTTTTTTAAATCCTATCCTCTAATGCAGATAATCCGCTATCAACATGGATTTACCAGGGATAAATTCCATATCATAATGTTGAAATGAATAAATACACGTAAAAATTTCCAAATCTAAGTACTAACTTCCATCTTTTTTCTTTTGGGGGCTTGTAGCTATGGATATCAGGTTCCCATACTCAATATATTAATCAAAACCCTTAAAATGTTTACCCTTTTAAATATTTTCGATAACAAGAAACGTATAGCCAGTCACAAGAGCCTTAACAGCATTTTTGGAGTAAAAAATATTAACTTTATCATATATTTTATTTCCATTTGACACGAAAAAAGAGAGGCGAAAGATACCAAAGGGACATTCAAACTCATTAGTCGAAAATAAACTGACAACGCCATGACTAAAAAAATAGAGCAACATAAAAACAACATTACACAAAACACGACATATAAAACTAAAGACTGAGCAACGCGAACCCCATCAAAAACTGGGGGTTATCTCAGATGCTCCGGAAGGGTAGGCAGATCACATTCGATGAATCATATCCGTTGTCATCTGTGAAACAGATATCCCATAACGGTCAACCAACTCGTGATGGTGTCCGTAAAATTAACCAAATGATAATTTCAACTTCACCACTTGGAACTCTTGGTTTGAAAGCTTTCTTGTAAGCAGCAACCCTCTATCAAGGAAATCATGATAGGAAATACAAAACATGGAATATCGTATCAACTGGTAGATATATACTCCGTATGCAGGTGCTGCTAGAATGTAGCTACATAGAAATTGAAATTTAACAATTGGGAAGTTGAAATCATCTCTTTTGTCGTAATGTTTTGGTTTAAACCGACCCTCATTGTCAATTTCTATTTGTAAGTCAACATATAAGGCAGAGTGAACTGTATCTGTTGTATCCCAAGTTCGATGGCATAGATGCGTTCAATTATTTAGTGAGAGAACACCATCTATATGATTCTATATAGCGGACATTGAAGTTAAAGGATACTGCTTAATTCTTTTCTTTCTTCCTAAGAAGTTCCAACGTAACAAATATGTTGTCAATCAAGAAATCTATTATCTTGATAATGTCAGTTTCAGAGAATTTTTTGTTTGAATCAGTGTGATTTTTTACAAAGTATGATTTATCACGAGAAAATGTGAGTTATTCTGACAGGTCATAAATGCAATTCAACATATAATTAAAATGGGATAAGTGTCTGTTGTATTAAATAGGTTTTAGTATAGATACAATATTATTAACAATGACTGCGATGGAAACCAAAAATCGCGGTATAATTTAGAATCACAATATTGCCATTCTTGTGTCACTTTCAGAAATATCACTATATTAAAAAAAAGGCGTTTTAACTCATATCATATTCATGATCGGTCTAAGAAGTCAGTGAGAATTTCAGATGGGAACCAAATTCATAATTTTAATTTACACATCTCCTGATTATCATATGTAAAATTTTGATCTAGATATATGAAGAGTAATAAAAAAAATACTAGAGGCTCTAAAGAGCCTATGTCGCTCACCTAGGTCTATGTGCATCTTCAACAATGGATACTCTACATCTTTTGTGGAATAGAATAGAATTCATGACAAAAATCTCAAAAATGTAAGTTTCTATCTATCTATTATAGTTTTGTAGATATTTGGCAAGAACACAAAAAATTAGTAAAAATCGTCATTAAAGAGCAATAACTCCAATAAGGGGTTATCAGACCATTTCAACTATGTTGACCTATTTGTAGAACTTATCTTGCTGATCATTTTCGCTAAATAAAGTTTCTCTCTATCTATCATAATTTTCAAGATAATAGACAAAAATTTAAAACGTTGGTAAAATTCGTCATTTAAGGGCAATAGCTCCTATAAAAAGACGTCTGAAGTAAAGGGACAATAGGTAGATCTCATCATTCAAAATATTTCTGCCCTGTCAGATTTTCTCTATTTATACTGGTTTAAAAGATAATAGACTAAACTTGCAATTTACCCCTATGTTCTATTTTTATCCATGTCGGGGATCTTGGTTGGCAGGCGGGGTCATCGATAACATTTTCTAAACTAGAAACCCTAATGATGATTGTGGCCAAGTTTGGTAACACTTGGATCAGTAGTTTCAGAGAAGATTTTTGTAAAAGTTAACGACCACGGACGCCAAGTGATGGGAAAAGCTAACTTGGCCCCTTGGGCCAGGTCACCTAAAACGAGACGAGAAAAAAGAAAGGAATAAGAAACAACACAAGTTCACCGATGTTCGAATCTCGTAAATCCTTTATAAATATACAAACCAAATGAAAACAACAGAGGAATCAGCAGGGTAAGAGTCTCTCTTTTCAGAGTATAACAATACGGAATGGTTACATAACAGTAACAATATCAAAGTGTAGTTTCCTATTTCGGAAGGTACGCATAAAACTCACCGTGCTCTTTTTCCGATTTGACCGTTGAAGTGTAATCTAGACGATACTGTTACAGTAATGTAAAACTATATGAAAGAGCCTAGTAATCTTAAAGTTAAAATTTATAACAGAATATTTATAGAATAACTAATCCAAGAATTCAAATATAGAATATATTCAATCAGTGACCGAAAAATTTATGAGTGCCCGTAGCGCATGAGCTCATTATCAGTATTGTTCGGTCATGATCACGAGTTGAATATTTTTGATACTATCATTTTAATTCTTGGATTAGTTTTTCTTTTTACTTCATTGACCACGGACTATATGATGGAAATAAAGTCGAAAATGAAGGGAACTATATCTTTTTTTACGCATTTTCAACAGTTTCAATGCAGCGTCATCGACAACATCTCAACTTCACCTATTGTTGTTTGACGCAAGAGGAGCGAAATTGTCCGATTATTTCACATGTGAAATTCTCGTGTTTTTTTTTTTGTTTTTTTTTTTGTTTTTTTTTTTTATTTCCCTGGTGAATCACGGTAATTCATTGCAACCAATGTAATGAATGGAATGTAACCTCATTTAATGCTTACATGTATATATTATTATGTTTTTAATTTAAGGGTGCAAGTCTTGAAGTCGGTAGTAACAGCCAAAGAAAATGTTTACTCTGTAAATATTCTTGAGAATGAACACGACAACGAAACAACATCAGACAACAGAGATGACGAAAAACAAGTTGTCATTGAGCTAGAACAGTTTGATGCAAAAAATAAAACACGAGACACCATTATTAGTGAAACAAATACCCAATGTTCTTTCGTAGAAAATGATCCAAGTGATAATGCCGTACAACCGAATGGAGATTGTTCAATAAGCAGCGAAATTGCAAGCACAGAGACATCGAGTTTAGATTCTTTAAAAATGCAAAAGCAGGAAAATAAATTTGATAAAATTGCAGACGAGAGTTATAAGCTTAATGGAAATCAAAATGGTAAAAATGACAGTTGCGAAACTGATGAATTGAATGAGACGGACTCTAAAACAAATACTGCACTCCGCGAGGAAAGAGAAGTTTTGACAAATCTAAAAATTCATTCAAGCGAAACATCAAACTATGACAATTCTTTTGAATTCATGAAAGATAGAATTCATCGGAAGCCGTTAAAAAAGGATAAGCCTAGTAACAGCACAAAAAATAATTTTACTGATAGTACACATAATCAGAGGAAAGCATTCACACAACAGGACAATGAAAATGAAAAGATCACTGATAAGAAAAAAGGTGTTTATACATTATTAATTGAAATAGACGGAACAAAAAAATACCTGTTAATTTAGGGCTTTTAACCTTCAATGAAATGTGCATAATCTTTTTTCATTAACTTCAGGTTTCGTGATATAACTGTAAAGTTGATATTTCCTCGTATTGAACTTAATGCTGATATTTTTATATTTTGTTATAATTTTTTAATGTTAGTCAAAGATTTTTTAATGACATTTTTGCAGCAATTTGACTATATTTTTCAGACATCATTGACCAAGTAGACGACCGAATAGAGTATGTAAATCTCAAGCTGAAATAATAACAATCCAGACCTCTAGAATAGTATAGTTTTACCAAAACTATGACATAGTAATAAGTTGTGATCAATGAATTTAATGCAGTCTTATTTTACCGTTTCCTCAATATACTAACTTACTATCGCAGCAACCAGCACGTACAAGACCAGAAGTATGGAGGAGTATACACAACATCATTGTCGTTTAAATATTAGACAGTCATTTAAGTCATCATACGTCATTTTAGTTTATATATTCCATTATAGACAACATTGCATTCAATACTGACATTTTAAAAGCTATTTTCCTTCTTTACTATTTGATTAAATGCTTGATGACCAGTTCACCAAAGAGGCTAAGCGTTTTCCATGCCATTATGAAAACATCTCGTGTAAACACCGTATTAGTCTCTTGAAATTCACAAAACATATTACTTAAGGAACGTAAAAATTTAACAAGGTAAAACAATAAGATATAGTTTGATATATATTCCTCGTAAAAATTTAGGTTACTGGGAGTGGTCATTAGAAACCTTTATGAGATATTCAATTACTCTGTTCAATATAGATTTATGAACGAAGTGATAGTTTCCCTTGTAAGTGTATGTGCCAGTAGAAGAATGCAAACATTTTACTGCTTTCTTAGAATATGTTTTCAATTTGGCAAACAATACGTTTATATGCAAAACATGTTAGCAAACCAACTGAAATAAACTACAATTCATCAAGGAACAAGGTATAGAAGTATGTCCAGTGGTGGAAATAGTTTTAGAACAAATATAATGCAGGATATGCAGGATATCTTACTAGAGAGAATAAATTGAAGATCAATACAGAAATATTTTGAATGAAGGTCATTCCAATCCGGTATTCTAATTGAGTGTTAATCTTACTTGGAGTTTTTTATATATCAAAATCATTTTTTCTAAAAGCATTTCGAATGGATTAGAGAACGAGGGTTGAGTGTGAATACTTTAAATATCTCCCATTTGTTTGGCCTCGGTCAAATGAGTATCTTAATTGTTTGTTTCTTTACCATTTGACTTTTACTTTTGCAGTATCTTCTTTATTAAAGCACATCTTACCTATTTATCATCACTGCTTTTAATAAAAGGAAATTCACTAATAGAATAGTGCATATACTTGAAAAACTTTCTCCAACAAAAAGTTCAAGAAAATAAAACTTTATAAATTTCGTGCGTCCGAAACGCTTTTCTGGATTTTACTTCATCGGGAACGATAAAACCTAAACATTTGAAAGCAAGAGATGTATAAAAACATGGAAACGTCAGAAACCATATGACCAAAAGACACACAGTAGAAAAAGCAAATTCATCTAAGATCATCTTTGCCTGATAGCTATAAAACCAGGTTTAATCCACCATTTTCTACATAAGGAAAACCATGTACTAAGTCAGGAAAATGACAGTTGTTTTCCATTCGTTTGATGTGTTTGAGCTTTTGATTTTGCTATTTGATTAGGGACTTTCTGATTTGAATTTTCCTCGAAGTTCGGTATTTTTGTTACTTTACTTTTTAAACCTTAGCTTCTAAATAATTTCTTAATTTATCTACGGGGAATTTTAGAAAAGACTAATATAAAATATGTCAGTATCGAAGCACTGACTACTGAGGTGATGTTACCATCGGGGACAAGCACCAATGCAGTAGTATCGACCTAGTTCTAGTAAATAAAATAAAGAATTTATAAATTTCGTGAGTCTAAGATAAACTTTTCCAGAGGGAGTTGGAACCTTAGTCTCATACTAAATTCATCAACTGGGAATTTACAACAAGTATGTTATAAATCATGTTTTACCGAACATTGACTACTGACTTGACGATACACACTGACACTGGCAGTCAATCAGCATCGATATCAACAAGGTTTTGAAAAAATTAAATAATGAAAAAACTCGCTTTTATGGATTGATCAAGAAATCGCAAAACACAAAGATTTGGAATATAATTATGTATAAGTACTTGTAAGACATGATACCTTTGACCAAGAGATACATACAAAAAATAGCCAAATCCATCATAGGTCAATTTTAGGCAGAGGGGGTTTGAATTTAAAAGCTCATGTTAATTTCTCATTTATCAACGAGGGATTTAAGAAAAATGTTAACCGGATATTTTTTGTGACAAGGACATACATTGTCCTAACACAAATTTTAATTGTTATAAAACTTTCAGTTTTAATTTCCCGCATTTTGTTTTCTTCTTTTTAAAGACATAATTACAGAACATGGCCTCGTAAGGAAACAAATATTCAATCAACACTGAAGAGTTTTGTAGATTTATTGACCTTCTGTTTTTCTCTGTTTATTGTTTAAAATAGATTACTTTCGTGACATGCATTTATTCATTTCTTTTCTTTTTAGTATTTGAGAAGGTGAAAAACTATATTCTTCCTGTTCAAACGCTCTTGATAAAGATTATTTGACAATCTGTTTTTGTACTTATTAAAATAACCTTGAAAATGTTTAATCTTATTCATTTCAATCTTTATTCAAATCGATGGCACTGATATTAGCTATGATTGCATGTCTCTCGGTTTCCAATGACTGTCTCCTTTATTTCCCATATAAGCATACCATTGTTGTTTATCAAACGGAAGTATTCTACTACAAATTTGACTTTCTGTTAAATTTGCACAAGAACATGTCAATCTCAACCTAAAAATAAAAACAGAAATAAAAAGAATATGAATCATAACAAGAGGCTCTCAAGAGCCTGAATCGCTCACCTGTAATTTTTTGCTTAAATCTTTCATCAATGATTATTTTTTTTTTCAATATATGTTAATGAGTGGCTTAAAAATGCCATTTAAATGTTCCTTGTATCTGTCATATTTTCTTCAAAAGCAAACAATGCATTTTACCCCTATGTTCCATTTTAGCCATAGTGGCTGTGTTTCTTGAAGTACAAGGAAATAAAATACAAAATTTATACTAGATACTCTGAAACTCATTCAGCCCAAGTTTGGCTGAAATTGATTAGCAGTTTCAAGGGAGAAGATTTTTAAAGAAGCAAACTAGATGAACAAATTGTGAAAAGTTGTCTTTAAAGGACAATAATTCCTTAAGGGGTCAATTGACAATTTTGGTCATATAAAAACTTATTTGTAGATCTTAATTTGCTGAACATTTTTGCTGTTTACATTTTATCTTTATTTATAATAATATTCAAGATAATAACCGAAAACTGCAAAACTTCCTTAAAATCATCAATTCAGGGGCAATAACCTAAAAATCAGATACCCGATATGGCTGATAATTTCAGGGCAGGTAGACCTTGACCTAATGAATCGTTAACTTCTTGTCTGATTTGCTCTAAATGCTTTAGTTTTTGAGATATAAGCCAAAAACTGCATTTTACCCTATGTTCTATTTTTAGCCATGGCGGCCATGTTTTCTGAGGAAACAAAAAATAAAACACAAACTTTATTTTCGATAATCTAAGAATCATTCAGCTTAAGTTTGGTTTAATTTGGTTTAGTAGTTTCAGAGGAGACGATTTTTTAAAGTAAGAAAACATGATAAACAAATTGTGTAAAATTATCCTTAAGGGGTCAATTGATAATATTGGTCATATAAACTTATTTGTAGATCTTACTTTGCTGAACATGTTTGCTGTTTACAGTTTATCTTTATCTATAACAATTTTCAAGATAATAACAAAAAACTGCAAAATTTCCTTAAAATTACTAATTTAGTGGCAGTAACCAAACAATGGGTTGTTAAATTCATCTGAAAATTTCAGGGCTGATAGAATTTAACCTAATGAACATTTTTACCCCCATGTCAGATTTGCTCTAAATGCTTTAGTTTTTGAGATATAAGCCAAAAACTGCATTTTACCCCTATGTTCCATTTCTAGCCATGGTGGCCATGTTTTTTGACGAAACAGAAAATAAAACACAAACTTTATTCTAGATACCCTAAGAATCATTCAGCTCAAGTTTGGTTTGAATTGGTTCTGTAGTTTCAGAGGAGAAGATTTTTGAAATAGTTTACGACGGACGCCAAGTGATGGCAAAAGCTCTAATTTCCTTTGGAAAGGTGAGCTATAAATGATTATCATATATTACGCTAACAATTCAGTAAGTAGTAAGTTGTACATGCAATAAGATAAGAAAGGGAAAAAAATTATTGACTTATTATTGTATTGTAGGATTATTGTCTAATGGTCTAATTGAAGTATTCCCCAGCTATGCTTGATGATATATATGAAAGAAAGATCAACGAGTCAACAAATTACCTTAATCGATAAAGTTTCAAATTTTTAAGTTATTTCTTTAACAAATTACAAAAACTATTCCAGACGCAGCTGTAACACTTGATTATTTTGGTTATTTCTAAAATCCAAGTTGTCTAGGAACTGGAATTTGCATTGTTTTATCAAATTCTATCATAGTATATTGATAATTCATGATTCAGAAAAGGCAACTATATGTGCTTTCCAATATTATTATACAATATCAGTTAATCAAATTTCAGAAATTTAGAAATTACGAGACATTTTTTTAAATTATGAAACTTTGACGTATAATTAACTAAGCTGGTATAATAAATATTATTCGGCTGTTGTCTGCTCTATGGTCGGGTTGTTGTCTCTTTAACACATTCCCCATTTCCATTCTCAATTTTATTAATAGATAATGACCTCGATACCATGTACTAAAATGATAGTAAGTCTATGCTTTAAAGATTAACGTACCTATAAACAGTCATCTGGCCCATATGCACATTGTACGGATTGTATGTCGTTTGACTTTCATACGTTCTGTCTTCATGGTCTTCATGTCCTCTTCCACTCTTTTTTAGGCATTCTTGTGTGATAACATGCTCATAAGCGTCATGATCCATACCATAATATTCACCTAAAATATATATCAACTATTTAAATCTAATATTATAATTATACAAGTTAGCATGATTTCATATTATTATGAATAAACAGTTGTTTTGTCTATCTAACCAGATGACAATGTTGTGCGCAGTGCAATTGGTATCATTTTCATTAGGGTCAGACTTTTGTTTAGAAAGTATAAATAAAAAACAAAGAATGTTGAATACTGTATTTTGGGAATATCAACTCCAATACTGGGGATGCAGAGTTGTAGCCGTATTGAATATTCAATTCCTTAAATAGAAAAACAATGGCATTTCTTTTTCGTTGCCCATTACTATAAGTATCAATATTCCCACTACAAAACAATCCAAGTATGAATTAATTATTTTTACAAAATATCACCAACTGAAAAGAGGTTGACACTTTCGTACCGATATATCCGCCATAATAGAATGCAAGTTCATTATTTGTATGGTACATGTCACTATTTTGATAGTTTTGAAATTTATATGGAAGGTGTTTGATTTTCACTTACTCCCAAATGGTCGATACCTCTGCCGGTGCACTACAAGTCCAAGGAAAATATCGCATTCCACTGTTCAGAACTTCGAATTGAGATTTTTCATTACAAAAAAATGTGTGTATCATTTGTAATTCTGATTAAAAGCCAGATTTGAACTTCTTCAAGCAAAGTCGGGTTTATAATCCTGGTACCTTTGATAACTATTTACCTGTTTTTGGTAAATTTTGTTTTGTTGTTCGAATATTTTTATCTATTTTTATTTTCTGTCACTTTCTGAAGTTTTAGCTATGAACGTTCGTAGTGAAAAACATAAAAATGCAATGTATAGTTTTTGAAATAGGTATCAGTAACATGCACATATATCACTCTTACATGTTATAATACAGGTTGGTGTACATTCTGTTTACAGCCAAATCAAAACCAAACCTTCGGTACTTACTTAATGGAGAAAACCTTTGTTTTTCTTGTGACAACTTTTTAGATATACATTCCTTGTCTTTCGGAAGTACCACGTGGGTATCCGCGGGAAAAAACCAGTATGTTCCAAATATAAATTCTATCGAATGATTAAAGTCGGGATGATTGACATGTAGAGTGGTAGGCGCCAATGTACCAGTCGACAAGAGCCTTTGCAGTCCTTCATTATCATGTGGACCCACATGTCTTCGTCTTCGGCCACGTTTGTAAAGTGTCTTTTTATCTTTAGAATATGTTTTACTATTTCTCCTCATATGTGGATGGTATGAATTCTTATTATTTCTATGTTTTCTATCAAATCCAGAATTTTGTTTTTTATATAAATCGTCATAAATATCACCGAAAGATGGATAACGATTGCCAAGAACGTCCCCATCTTCTTCGTAATCAGAGAAATCCCTAGGGTCATTGAAACTATCATATTTATATTGAAATCCTTCATTGTTGGATTTTCCCCTAGAATCGTCATTGCTGTCTGTTTGTAAAGGCGGTTGATAAACGTATTCTTTCTTTCCTTCATTTTTCAATCTGTTTATATCCTGAAAGCGAATATAAGATGTAACAAAATCTGTTGTTTGTTCTCAAGACTGGCTTAGAATCGACTTGCACATGGATATTTCTATATTGCATATAAAGATCTGACAATAAATGAGACAAACTAATTCGTTTCAAATAATACTAAAGTATGTTCGAAGATTACAGTAAATTCAGAAATTATTGTGTGCATTTGATATTGCCATTTTTAAAGAATGGACAACAAGGCGAGACCAATTATTGCGATGTCAGAACAAATCTGCATACAGATATATGTATCAGATGACAGAACGCTAGTTCATATTATTGCGATACTGACCCAGTCGCATTATTCGCATTAATAAAAACCTGGCAATAGTTTCTGAATTTACGGTATCTGTGTAACTAAAATATTACAAAAGAGATGATTTCAGCTTCCCAATTGTAAACTACCCATTTCTATGTAGCACCATTCCAGCAGCGCCTACATACGGAGTATATATCTCCCAGTTGATACGATATTCCAGAGCTTGTATTTCCTATCATGATTTCCTTGATAAAGGGTTGCTGCTCACAAGGAAGCTATTAAGCCAAGAGTTCCAAGTGGTGAAGTTGAAGTCGTCCCTTTGTTAATTTTACTGACGCCTTTACGAGTTGGTTGACCGTTATACAATATCCGTTTCACAGATGACAACGGATATGTTCTAATTGTCAATACTACAATCCCGTCCCCTTTTCCCCGAATGTGACCTACCGAATTAGACTTATCACCGATTTTGTACTAACATGAGCAACACGATAGGTGCCACATGTGGAGCAGGATCTGCTTATCCTTCCTGAGCACCTAAGATCACCCCCAGTTTTTGATTGTTGCTCAGTCTTTGGTTTTCTGTGTGTTGTATTTTGTGTACTGTTGTTTGTTTGTCTTTTTCTTTTTAACGATGGCGTTGTCAGTTTATTTTCTACTTGTGAATTTGAATGTCCCTTTGATATCCTTCGCCTTTCTTGAATCTAATACAAAAACGTGTTTGATATACCTAACGGGATTGTTGCAATAATGCAACTATAGTCTTGATAACTACAATGTTTGTTAGCTATAATATCTACCAGTCAAGATCCAAGTTATTCAATTGTAAATATTTAGATTTCATACTAGCTTTTATCAAAAAAGACTGCACCATCTGTCCAAGAGAAGATGATTCTTAAAATCACATATGATCTTTTGTTTTATTGCTTTAAAAAAAATGCACTTAACATTAATAATGAGATACTAAAAATTCAAAGCGTTTAACACTTGCAAAATATCGACCAAAGTGTGTAAGTTGATGATCAAATCTAATAGTCAGAAGTACATCAACATACATCAGCATTCACATCATATTGCAAACAATTATTTGCCCTCTGTTAAGACATGTTGATTATCTCAATCAGTCGTATAACAAATACTTCTGGTGAAAAACTATCAACAAAAATAAATCAGAAAAAGTACATAATAAATGACACAATACCTTAAACCTATCTATAAATACTTCTTTTTTGTCCAGGTCAGAATTCAGTTTATAATACTCATAATCTTTCTGGTGTTCTGGATGCTTCTTTAGGAAATTTAATGCTTCTTGCGTAGTATTCACCCATTTCGAATGTTCAAGTTCTTTCCTGTCAACTAAATGTTAAGTAGACATAAAGTAAATAAATGTAAACTAAACAGCAAAAATCAAGTGAATTGTTTTTTTGAGTGTTGACAACATTTATTTTCGTTAACATATTGTACACTGATTAGATGCAATCAGCTTCAATTACTCATTGCATATTATCAGAAGTCCATTAATGGACTTCTTATATTATATTACACAATTTATGGTTTTCTAAGTGAAAATATATCTAATGTAGTAAAACGTCTACCTCATTATTAATGTTATATATATATTTCTCTAATTCTTCGTCAATTTATCCCTTTCTGCACCCATTGTATAAAAGAAAATTTAAACAACGTGTGGATCGTTTGATCTCAGTTCTTCATTGGTCAAAATCCGATTATGACGTCGAATTTTCTTGCTTTCCTTTGAATATCCTATTGTGACGGCATGAAAAAAGGTGACCATGCCTGATGACGTCACATAGAAAGAACACATCTTTTTGCAGATCATTCGAAAAGAAGGAATAAATTTGCCTGCGTATTGTTTGAAAATCATTAGAGAAACAGATTCCACCACCAAATCTCGTGTAATACGATATTTATCCACTCTCGGCAGTTAAATTTTAAATATTTAAAACGCTCGGCGAGCCTCGCGTTTTAAATTTGAAAATTTAACTGTCTCGAGTGGATAAATATCGTATCACACTCGATGCAGTGGTAGAATCTATATATATATACGTCTGAACCAGTGACAAATCTACGACAGATTTTGACAGTGATGGTGATACAAGCTTTTGGCTGAAAACACATTCTGTATACATAATTCGTCTAAATAACAGCCCAACAATGTTAGATCTGTTTTTGTTCTTCCCTGGCCGGGATTCGAACTCATGCTACTGAGTATATATATATGAATACCTCTTTAATATTTGAAACTGTTGGCTCTGAGAGTTAATCAAGAAAACGCTTCAAACAAAGAATGCTTGGTATATTTGAGATTGATTTACTACCACTGGGTAAATTCCAATGCTGATGTTAATCAACGACAGTATTAACTGCACAGCATAGTATTCGTGATTTATCATATACATTTCTCAGTTAAATATAATTGCATATCACAGGCTGCAATATGACAAAATTAATTATTCATTCTTTATTTTTATCATGTATTTGGCCTTTTTTAACGACATTTTCATAGCTCCCCGTGTATAACATTCCAACAGCGCCTGCATATGCAATATTTATCTCTCAGTAGGTACAATATTCCAGATCCTGCTTTTCCTATCATGATTTTCTTGAAAGAGGATCGCTCCTTACAAGGAGGCTATTGAACAAGGGAATTATAGTGGTAAAGTTGAAGTCATCCCTTCAAAAGTATTAGGGACGCCGTCATGAGTTGGTTGACCGTTATAAATTATGTGTCAGAGATGACCACGTGTGTGTTTCATTGCCGTAGCCACATTTCCTCGATTGTGACATCGCCAAATGAGACTTAACACCGAATTTATACTTACCATGGGTAACACAATGAATGTCACATATGGAGCAAGACCTGCTTACCCTTCAATTTTTTGTTGGGTTCGTATTGCTCAGTCTTTAGTTGGTATATAGAGTTTTGTATACTTTGTTAGTCTTTTCGTCTTTTTTGTTTTTTGCCATGGTTTGGTCGGTCTCTCTTCGATTCATGACTTTTGATTCTTCCTTTTGTATTTCCGACTGATTTTTCTGAAATGTTCTTTATTAGAAACGGTAAGTTAGAAAAATTTGGAAAGTCAAAGATATACCATGAGTCATATTTTCAACAGGAACAAATAAAGAATAACCAAAACCGTATTTTTTTACTATTAGTTTATTTGCAAGAGTTTGAATCCTATTTTTCAAAATACTACATAAACACTGATCATAAATCAAAATGCAATTAAAAAACAAATTTTCTCCTTGACAACATTTATGTACGTTTCGGCAATAAAGTTTATCGACGGATTGTAGGTATTCCTATGGGCACCAATTGTGTCCCTTTAATAGCAGACTTGTTCTTGAACTGTTATAAATAACAGTTTATGACTAAATTCAGTAAAGACCCGTCTAAATTCCATTCAAATGATAAATTCAACAACACTTACCGTTATCTTGATGATATTGTTTTCGTTAAATAATCAAGAATTCTCTAAATATACTGCCGAAATTTACTCAAAGGAACTTACCTTAAATAAATCAAAAATTAAGAGCAATAAATGTCCTTTCCAAGATTTAGACATTTCAGTTTTACACCAAAATCTTACGATAAAAGGGATGATGTTTCGTTCCCTATTGTTAATTTTCTTTTTTTGGACGGTGATGTTCCTTTGGCACCGTCTTACGGTGTTTATATATCCCAACTCGTTCGCTATGCCCGTGTCTGTAGTGACGTTTTGGATTTTAATGAGCATAATCTATGTATAACTAGTAAACTATTAAGTCAGGGGTTTCGTTACCACAAATTACTTAAAACCTCAACTAAATTCTTTCATGGATACAAAGATTTGGTTTGCAAGTTTGGCTGTACCTGTAGAAAACTTATTTCAATAGAGAATATCATATGGCTTTTTCAATATCACATCCGTATCAACCCGAGACACCAATATAATCCCAAGAGCTCTGCTCGAGGGATTATATTGGTTGAGGGTTGATACGGTGTGTGATATTGAAAAAGCCATATCATATACACTTTATTATATACATATACCTCACGTAGATGTTTTTTTATGTGAAATGACTTCATACAGGTAAGGAGGTTTGAAATGACGTCATACAGATTATAGGTTTGACATGACGTCATACAGATTATGGGTTTGATAAAGCCTTTGCAACAGTGACTGTAATCGATGACGTGACGTCATACAGATTAATATAGTATTAATGTATAGACTTTTTCATATTGGCCCTGTAACATGCCCGAGGTATTAATAATGGCCAAGGATGGTTGTAATGGCCCCGAGGCAACGCCGAGGGCCATTACAACTGTCCGAGGCCATTATTAATACCAAGGGCATGTAACAGGGCCAATATAAAAAAGTCCATGTATTGAAACTTTTATTAACCAACTTCATTCAAGAACAGTCAGAGTCCATAATTAATATTAAGGAGTTTTTTATGCTTCTGTTGACAAATTTTATGATTAAATATGTGTTTGTTCATAAAACATGGCATTATTTTTTAGATGTAATTGTTTTTTATGTGTGCGCACTTGTTCTTTGAGTTTCATTTTTGACAACTGGAAAAGACCATATATCAATTATTCTTTTTGCATTTACTGTTAACCGTTGTCTGTTGAGTTTGAATCCCAATGTTGAAGGCCTTGTAGAGAACTCTAAATATATAATGTTGTATTGGCTTACTGTGCCCATGGACATGATGGAAGATAAGGAATGAAAATACCATTGATTTTTTTAATTAACATAAACAAATAAATCAATATAACAATGTGTCACTGAATTGTTATTTTCAAATAATGGAATATTAGTTGATTTTCAACCTTCATAAATTAAAAAAAAGTTGTCACTTATTTAAAGAAATAGACGACATTTTGATTTAATCGATGTCCCGTTTCGTCTGTTCATAATGCATGGCTGTGATTTCGTAATGCACGGGTGTGGTTTCGTAATGCATGACTGAGATTTCGTAATGACTGGCTGTAGCAATTTCTCCGTTCATAATGACCAGTTGTCGAAATTTTCCATTTATTAAGCATGGGCATTTCTATACATATTGTAGTAAGTTGGTTAATAAAGGTGTGATAAAGCCTTTGCAACCGTGCTGATATCGATATCATCACGAGTGGCTGATACAGCACGCTTGCCAATGATTGTATTACACATACAATTTATCTGTATTTACTACTAAGTATATAATAAAACGAAATAACACATCCTTAATTTTACGGTGATATTGTTAACCGAGCCCGGAAATTTAGGTACGATCCGGGTAAACTTATCAATCATTTAAATAAACTTATTCTAAAAGGTTACCAACTCAACACTGTAATTAAATCCTTGAATATTGTTTTTATTGGTATAAATATAGATTTTGTTATCAGTAAATTAAAACCATACTAAATATTATTGTTATACACATATGTACTTTCACGGTACTACAATTTGTCGATACCTATATTTTGGCATTGCACAAGGTCATGTTTTTCTCTGATTGTTAATGACGTCTTTACACTAAGTTCATTGGATGCTGGATGTGTACTGATTGATATTTTAGTCTTAGATACATGAATTTTTTAATTAGTTGTTATTGGTTTTGAACTAGCTGTCAGTAACTGTGAGTAATCTCAGATCTGTACTTAGTGTCTTTTTTGTTGTTAGGGATGTAGGATGGATAAATACCCTGCCACGTCTGGTCTGTGTTTTGTTTGATGTTTTACTGCTTTGTATCGATCTGATGATTTAAGCCTTTTTCAACTGATTTTTATATCATATATATTTGTTCTTTTGTTGTGCTGTTACACCGCTGTTCCATGTTAGGGGGAGGGTTGAGTGCTCACAAACATGTTTAACCCCGCCACATTCTTTATGTGCCTGTCCCAAGTCAGGATCCAGTAATTCAGTGGTTGTCGTTGATTCATGTCTGTCATATTTGGTTTTCGTCAATTGTTTTGTTATAAATTAGGCCGTTAGTTTTCTCAATTGAATTGTTTCATATTTTGCATGTCGGGGCCTTTTATAGCCGACTATGCGGTATGGGTTTTCTCATTGTTGAAGGCCGTACGGTTGCCTATAATTGCTTACACCCACTTCATTTGAACTTTGGTGGATAGTTGTCTCATTGGCAATCATACCACATCTCCTTATTTTTATAAAGGTCAGCTCTGAAGCAGTGACTAATAGGCGAATATGACCATTGGCGATAAATTGTAAACTCCCAGGACTGACGGTCAAATCTAAAACCTCTCATTTATTCCGTTGGATAAATACTAATGTTGAAAATACAAAACCCGAGCGACTGTTATAAAGGATTTATAATAAACAAGGTGATATCCCATAAATATCGCTTGAATTCTTTAAGCCTTGTTCGATATGCTATGCCAAGATATCGTCTGATTACAAAAACATAATTTGCAAAGGGAAACATTTAATCAAGCAAACTACTATTCTCAAGACTGACGGGTTGTAATAAAACAATGGTTGAATTTCAGAAGAATACACAAGAGGAGCATTAGAAATAAAAATAAAACAGAATAAAAGACATGAGGGCATTACAAGACTAAAACAATTAATTTATAAAGATGAAATTATACACAAAAACAAAGATGAAAACTTAACACTGAACAATTTATTTAATAAACTCGTGGGAAAATTTAAACCCGCTCTTGAAGGCTAAAGTACAACCGGTGTTAATTGTATCCTTTATTGTTTAGATACGTAGGTAACGGTAGGAACTCAGAATAATGGTATGAAATTGGGTATCATTGTTTTACCAATAAATAGTAATTATACTAACTAGAATAGTAGACTGTTGTTCCAGGTGAGGGAGTGTTATCATTGTTATACCAATAAATAGTAATTATACTAACTAGAATTGTAGACTGTTGTTCCAGGCGAGGGAGTGTTATCATTGTTATACCAATAAATAGTAATTATACTAACTAGAATAGTAGACTGTCGACCCAGGTGAGGGAGTGTTCTTGCTTATGGCATATATCTTGCTATATCCTTGGGTTTTATATCTCAAACGGCAGAAATCAGATCTACTTTGTTCATGAACATTGGTTCCTGAAACAAATGTGGTTTTTATTATCAAAAACTAACAAGCTTCAACTTTTCCATGCGAATGGTTTATGGTATTTTCGAACAATCGAACATTGATTGGATATTGAGAAACAAGTTGTCATTAACGCCTGCAGATTTAAACACTTTTCATTGTTTTCTGAGATGTAAATTTTTAATTTCAAAAATATTTGATGTATTTTTGTTGGTATCGGTATTGGCGTCAGTTAAGTGACACTATTTAAACTGTATATTGTCAGTTTGTAAATTTGGTAATAGTAAATATACTAGGATGTAACTGCAATTACCATAAAAGGTACAAAGGAGTAGGTTCGGTAAGGGCCGATTTTGGCCTCAAAATTCAGGTTCATCTGATGAAAGATTTTGGACACTTTTTAAACACTTAACGTCACAGTACCCAAATTGCACCGAGTACCCAAATTGCACCTACTGAACAAAAATAGCTGCGGAAATCTTACAAGTTTTATTTGACACTAAACAATTTGTATTTGTATGATTTGACATTATACATATATTTCAGCATAAGCAAATATATCTAAAAATGAACAAAACGTTCACAGTATATCTCAACAGATAAAGTATTTACTGTAAAAGTAAAATCTACGTAAACGTCGCCATGCGACGTTCACAAAAGGTCATCTTTTAAAAATGAGCAAATAAAATATGTTACAAGCATCCATTTCTTAAAAAAAGAATAGTATGCATGGACTAATGTCAAATTGTTCTAAATATTTGAAGAAATAGAACAAAACATCTGTTATACGATTTTTAAGGATGTGAATTTAAGCATGGATGCAATTTGGGTACTCCCCATTACAGAATCATGGATCGTTTGGATGTCAAATAGACCCATTTTTCTATGACTCAATATGGATTCAAAATTAAATCGGTGTAACTATATAGTAAATTAGGATACATCTACAAAATAAACCCAGAATGGAAACTTTTGTTTGGAGCATAAAAAAACGTAGGTGAAAAAACTGTCAAAATAGGTGCAATGTGGGTACCCTCACGTTAAGTGTCTACTTTAGTCGATTCAATTAGTTTATGTGAAAGATTTGAACTGATTAAAGACGCTCAAATTCAAGCTTAAATATGAAAAATCTATCAAATATGCCATAATATGTCACTTTTCAGATGGTTTTTGTCAAAAATGAAAGTGGCCGCATCCGTGTCCATTCTCAACCTTTATATATGTTATGTATTATCATCAAATACAACTTACATTTAAATATTAAGAGTGAACACAAATGCGGCCACTTCCATTTCAGACGGAAACCGTCTAAAAATTAACCAAAATGCAAAAATTTTGAAGATTTCAGTAATTTAGCATGACTTAATGATGCTAGTTAAGAAATAATTCTTTCATGCCATGCTTTATGCTCATTTTAACATGGGTAGGCATTATATTTATCAATATCTTTATGCCGAGCGTTAGCGAGGTGTAAAATATTGACAAATATAATGCCTACCCATGTTAAAATTAGCATAAAGCATGGCATGATAGAATTATTTCGATTCTGATAGGAATATTTAGAACTTTTGTACTTCGAAGCGGACCTATAATACACATCCAAAAGGCAGCCATTTTGATTTGATGAACCAAAAACGTTATAGAAAATCAACAGTTGAACGATCTAAAAATTAATATATAAACGTAAACTTACTTTTAGAATGATTTTATTTAATTTCCTAGCGAGCAACACAGACAAAACTATCCATTTCGACCTCCGGCGTTGTTCAAAATACAACTGACGTTGCAATTTCAAGTTCATATCAAGTTGCTTATTTGAATATTATACTAAAGAAATCGGATACGGGTCACGGAAATTATATTGAAATGATAGGGAATTTTGAAAAAAAATGTCTGTTTTAACTTTAATTTAAGTGATAGACAGGTTGCAGGGACAGAAAATAAATATACACAACAATGTACACCATTTAAACGAAACATAATGACTGTCGTTGCAAAAATCAAGGTTCCTGAGCTATTTTAAAAATCGAAGCGAGAGTCTTTTAACATTGCAGTATAAAATACAGGCTAAAATGGCTGAAACGTCAAATTTGCAAACTTCGTGTTGAAAATTGGCTAACAAGGTCATTACAAAAACAGGTTGCGGGGATGAAACTTGAATGTCCAAAGAATAAGCAAGTCCAAACCTTGTATGTGTAGTCGTTGAACTCTAGGTTCCCACGTAAAGTTAAAATGCCCCTATTTCAAGAAGAATAAATTCACGAAAACACGAAAAATTCACTAAATTTGACGGCCTGACGACTTTACGGAAATATCAGAGTGATTATAAACAAGGACTCTGTGAAGGGCAACTTATTATATCCGTGTTTTAAAGATTTTAATGATATCAAGCCAGTCCAGTTCAAACTATTATCACGTGGTACAATTCTCATTTACATATTATGAATATTAATTAGCAAAAGTACTACTAATTTCTGGCTATGTGTGACGTCAGCCCATGTTTTATTGTAATTAGAACATGGCTTTGTTTCTAATTAGAAAAGAGGGACGAAAGATACCAGAGGGACAGTCAAACTCATAGATCGAAAACAAACTGATGTCAACAACGCCATGGCCAAAAATAAAAAGACAAACAGGCAAATAATAGTACAGATGACACAACATAATACCCGATACATGTGCATTGTATTGTGAAAAACAGCCCATATTTATGTAACAGAAGTATTCTTCTTTCCAATAAATAGCTAAAAATTTACCATTTAACAATTTTGTAAAACTGCTATATTTTGGGGCCAAAAGGGGGTCTCACTGGGCCTACTCCTTTACTGCACAAGATGCACATTGCAATAATTTAAAATGTCTCTTCGGTGATGCTCGAGGTCAAAATTTTGCAAAGTTGATCTTATATGATTCAAGTCGTTTCGTCCAAAAACAGTTGGTCTTGAGCGTACCTAATAAATAATATTCGGCAGGCGATCGAGCGCGGGACATATATGGCCCTGATTAGAATATGAAAAGGAAAGATACCCTAACAAACTTCGTGTATTGTTTTGTACATAAATCAGGCTGTTAGTTTTTTCTCGTTTGAATTGTTTTTATTTGTCATTTATGGGCCTTTGCTATACTGTATGGGTTTTGTTAATGGTTGAAGGCCTCCGGTGACCTATAGTTGTTAACTTCTACGTCATTTGGTCTTTGGTGGAGAGTTGTCTCATTGGCAATCAAATCAAGACTTTTTGATCAGGTGACTTGACAATATCCATACAAACTTCAGGTTTGGCGACAAAATTAAGAGACAAGGACTGTTAGTTAATATGTAAGTTTTGAAGAGTGGACAATATATTTATTTTGAGAATTCAGTTTTCAGTTCCAACTGTTTGCACAACGAAACAAAATAACGTGTACGACACGCCGTTCATACAAAAAATGTAGCGGTCATAGGGTAAAACAACGGCAAGGAAAGTTTTCCGACAAACTCATAATTGCATAACGTTAAAGATAAGTGATGTGCACGACGCGTCGTTCTTCATAAACGCTTACCTTTTACAAATTCAAATGTCCCTCCTTTTCCCTCAAAATTGAGACAATCAGACATCCAGTATAAGAATACATCATTGCCATATCCTTCTACACTTATTGCAAGTGGAGATGATTGAGCTCCAACAGAATCACGCATAGCCGGGTTTATTAGGGGAAGACCAGTTTTACCATCTAAGATTGTAGTCTGAAGATAAACAATGGTATACCTGAGTTAAAACCATTATAAATCTTTATAAAAAAGTACCATTCGTGGGGTTTTTACAGAATAGAATATTTCCTTAATTTCCTTCTATAGAAAAACTGTCCTGATGGAAAATTGATAAATAATAGGAAATTAATGGTTGCCCATTTTGTCTTTTATAAAGTGACATGTACAAATGGAGACATATCAAAGTATTGTGTATGTAAAATAGTTTGACTGAAAATAAAGTAAGATCCTGTGTTACAAACAAATTTCTGCACTTTATTTTGAAAGAGGTGATGAAGGTTGAATTTCGGTATACAATGTACCTCAACATAAAAGAAAATTTCTGTTCCTATTTTTCAGTTCAGCTGTTGAATTGAGTGTTCCTAAAGGTAAAGTCTTAGCTATATCTTCCAAAGTTTTACGGACACTGCGTAGCAACAATCACGTCCGCTCGATTCCTCGATTGCCAACCCTTTGGGACCCCTTGCGATGACCCCCGTTTTTTGGTAGAATTCATATTGCTCAATCTTTAGATATCTGTGTAATCTTTTGTGAACTCTCGTGTTGTCTTACTATCGTTTTTCTTTTGGCCATTGTGTTGTTGAGTGGTCTTCGTCTCTAGGGTTTTTGCTTGCCCCGCTTTGGCATATTCTCCCTCTTCGTCTCTAGGGTTTTTGCTTGCCCCGCTTTGGCATATTCTCCCTCTTCGTCTCTAGGGTTTTTGCTTGCCCCGCTTTGGCATATTCTCCCTCTCTTTTTCAGTCTGTTGAATAATGACGAAACAATCACATTCACATTGGGGTAATGATTTGGAAGACTTCATTAACTCGTGCATGAACAAACTAACGGTTCGACATTTATGTATTTTGTTAGCATCCAAATGTTCTTGTCGGACTCCAGATCAATATAAATATATTCTTGTTGTATTCCTATACTAAACAATTATCTGATAAACCTCAATATTGCGACAAGTGTAGTAATGATCAATTTATAACTCAATTGTAACTTAATCATGCAGTGAAATATTAGTAATTTGGATTTAGATTAATTTTACTACTTCCATGGGAAGCCAATAAAGAATGAAATGCTTACGTCAGAAAAGTAGTATAACGGAAATCCTGGACCATTGGCGTATTTAATCATAAAGTCTGGTATATCGTCCTCATTGTAATAACCAGGCGCAGGCGTACTGAAAACAAAAATGTAAAATTAAGGCTAGGGGTCGCTTCATTTCACTTAATAACATAGTTTATCTATATTCGGGCAAATAAAAATAAATCATAATTTGTGTAAGTTCGGAGTTTTATTAAAATGCCTTATTCAAATACTTTCAAACCATATACATCCCTTAATTTAATATTTTATTCAGTTTTTAATATTGGTTAAAACCTGCCTCGTCTCAAACGTAATAGTTTTATCACGACATAAAATACCAGACATACAGCTAGAACTTCATTACAAGGAATAAAATCACCGACTGTTTGCACATATGTTTAGGTTGCCATGTAGTATAGATTTACAGTATATAACTTTAATTCATTAGTCCGCCTACATTGAGTTCCTTTGTCTCCAAGCTAATGTTGATATGCAATCTACATGTTTAAATATTTACAACCATTTTCATCTGTTACATTATTAGTGTTTATTACTAGATTTCTCACGTTATGTAGTCACCTACACAGTATAAAATTTTTGCAACAACTTCAGCTGAACAACTTCCCTAGTATCTGCAGCCGTTACAGACTAAAAGATGTCTTTGAGAATCAATTACATTTATAAATTTATCAAATTTGCCCAAGGCACTCTTTAATAATTTAAAGTTTCATTCTATTCAACCAGATACTTAGAACAAACTGCTACTAAGAAAGTAGCAAGGGACGTCATGAGACCAAAAGTCACGCGATGTAGTCGACGTAAATTGAAAGAAAAACTCTTCTGTTATGATTTAAAATAATCTTTCTGAGTTGGAAAAAAATTAAGATTTTTTTCAAAAAGAGCTAACATTTAAGTATTTGAAATATTGATTTGTTTTATACAGATTTGCAGTGAAGAAATGCGTAGTAATTTCATATTAGAATTACTCCATTGAGGTTTGTAACGACTTCTATTTTATTTAATTTAAAAGTGAAAATATTATATTAAAACAGAAAAATGTGAATTGTTCGGCGAAAAAAAAAACGAAATTTTTTTTTATGCGACAATTTTCAGATGCAAAATAGGTATAAGAAAAAAACGAAGATACTTTTATCAACTCATCTTCTTTATTCTATTATCATAATTATAAATCAATTACTTCCTACATTAATCCATGCAAGCGTTTCTTTTTACACAACATATACATGATATAGCACCATCTGTCATTATAATGTGAATAATTAACAAATCTTTAAATAAACGAGGAAAAATGGATCATTTTCTCGGATGGAATATCAACATATGTATGTCAATTTCCGTGTTCACTACACGAGCTGGGGACACGTGTAACTGGAGACCCTTCTTCGGGTACGTTTGAGAACAAAGGTTTGGGAATAGAGTCCTACATTAACTATATAATTTTCATCAGCTAGATTTATTTTTATCTTGGTGTGTCATATCACAAGATATACTTACTTATAAGACTCAGACATTGGATGTGTGTAATTCCATATGACCTTGAATGACATTCCATCTATTGCTAAAACACTAGAATTAAACATTGCCATGACAATATCTTCAACGCCATCTCCCGTTAGGTCGAGTAATACTGGTGGTGTCATTACACCTTTGAATTCATCCGAATAGATCTTTTGTGCCTGAAAAATAACTCAAGGTACTTAAAAGATTGTACAAAAAGTTAAAGAGAGGCGGTCGGATCAAAGGAAAAATGTACAGATTGCCGATAAAGTAGACTATATAGATAATATTAAAATGCTAGTATTGCGGTCCAAATTTATAGATGGTCAATCCTAATTTATTTATCCAGTCTCTTACAATGTTGATCCATTTATGGGCAGTTTATGTGATTACCTTTGACTTTTTTCTAACCTTGATTTGTATTTTGTTTATGGATTGTGACTTAAACGTCGGCATACTACTGTTGCCTCTAATTTCTCTACATTTTTATAGATTTTATAGATTTATGAATCAGTTGAGTTACAATATGAATTAGAAATTCTATAGCTGAAAGTAGAATTTTGAAATGCAGAGTTCTATTTGTCTTATCTCGACGAGCTGCATTTGTTGTTTTGCACTGCTCTCCTAGAATTTATTTTACAATTTTGGGGTGATGGTGGGAGGGTCTGTCTCATTACATTACATTATAACCAGCATCACCTTTGATTCATAATGTTGGAATCTTTAGTGGTACAGTTGACTTTTTTATTTCGATATATGATCAAATGTTTTGGTTTTGAAAAAAAATATGAATTATTATTTCAGACTTCTGTCTGCTATGTTACCTTGTCAATTTCTCCTTTGTAAAGGTTATCCAATGAAATATACCACAATGATCCACCGTGTGTTTCTCCTCCTGTTCCAAATAAAACTATTTCTAATCCGTCTATTAATTGATAAACTTGAGGAGAATAATAAGATTCCTTGTCGTCGGGTACTCCAACCCATTGTAGTACTTTTCCAGTTTTCCCACTAAAGAACACAATTCTCCCCGACAGTCGGAATTTACTTCCTGGGTCCTGTAATGGATCTCCTCCGTGAATGGCTAATATGTCTCTAACACCATCTCCATCAAGGTCTTTAACAATTTGCGACGTATATAAATTCATTATTTCATTTTTAGCTTCCTGTTTGTCAAATGTCCATAATAAGGTTCCATCTTTCCCACTGACAGCATCAAATGCCTGTAGGTATTATACATTTTATTTTAGATGTGGAGATGTAGTGCATGTCATTTATTAAAGACCCATTGGCTATTATCAAAGACTCATTGGCTATTATTAAAGACCCATTGGCTATTATTAAAGACCCATTGGCTATTATTAAAAGCCCATTGGCTATTATTATTTTTATGTCATTTTTGGTCATATTACTCTTCAACTGTTTCGGTTCTTAATTCCTTGGTTCTCAAATGCTTTGAGCGTTCCTGATGAAGGTAAATCCAGAAAAGTGCTTCGGACGCATGAAATTTATAAAGTGCTGTTTTCAAGTTTTTTACAGCACTGGGTTCATACCGCATGCTGGTGAACTATCAGTCCCCAATGGTATCATCAGCTCATTAGTATGAACTTCGGGACTGATATGATTTATAACAAACCTTTCTTATATTGTCCGTTTATAATTTGAAAAATATTAAGAAACTAAGGTTCCAACTCCCTTAGGCAATGAAGACCTTAGATGGATTTGGCTATTCTTTTTAGGTTCAATTGGATCGTATACTTCTTCAACTGTTTTGGTTCTTATACATCCTTGGCTATCAAATATTTGGCTTTGAGCGTTCCTGATGAAGGTAAATCCAGAAAAGCGCTTCGGACACATGAAATTAATAAATAGTTGTTTTCATTTTTTGAGACGCCCTGAACATTATATTAGTAGTTAATTAAGTTAAGACAAGCTTTGATATTTAAAAAAAAACAATATAAGATACCAAAGGGAGCAAAATAAACACAGCTGCTCGAAGAAAAACTAAAACTGTGCAATGGTTGAACATTTGTTCGTGTGAATTACATCACTAGTTGACGACTCTAATCCATCTGATAAATAATTGTAAAAGAATCTCTATTCCGCTTGAAGCAGTGAGATATCATGTGTTTCTGGATGTACACTGCTTCTCATTTAATGAAGATTAATGCTTTTTTCAAATTTTTGCTTTAAATATGCGGAGAGATAAAGATGATAATAAGAATAAAGACACGATGTAATGACTTGATTTTGTTTCATATTCTATCAAGGTTCGTTTCGTCGATCTATCTCTTTAAATCCTCTAAAGTATAGTTTTGAAATTTGTCATAGCTTTTTCTATGCAACATATCCATTGAAAAATGTTCGTGCAACGATATTATCCAGATAACATTAACTAATCAGTTTATACAATGGACAAATAACAGATTACTTCAATTTACGACCTTCATTAACAATATTAACCCATAAGAATCTGAATGTGAAACACTTTTAATGAAGTTGCCGAAGAACAGCTAAATTTCAAACCAAATCTTTACATCTATGGTTTTGATAAATTTGTGATAACGAAATCTTTTGCTTAAAAGAGCATAAGCTGTCAAATTCATGTTCACCGATTTGACTCAAATTCTCATATTTGATTTACAAAATACTAAAACGTATACATCCAAATTACAAAAAGTCAAATATAAACAATTTACGATGTGTGGACTCGATAATATGTATCAGAATTTCGTGTGCATTTTAGTCTAGACGCAATCTAATCAACCATCGAGATGACCTCCGAATAATACCGACGGTCACATAACCCGATATAAACATAAATATAGATATAAATAGATAGCGAAGACGTGTAACTGGATTTTTCTAGGTCTGTTTGATTTCATATAGGTTAAAAAAATATGTTAATCGTCGTTTTTTCTTGTATAAGATGAGTTGTTGTGGATGGAATCAGTCAACCGAATGGTTTACCCATGTTTCACTTTCAATGTTGAAATTAATTTCCTTTTAATAGCTGTACACGCCTACTTTATGCGTAAACCATCTCTAGACACGGGGTTAAATTGAAAGTCACATTAATACGGATTCATTGAGGTCGAACTATTCACTTGCAAGTGAATGATTCATCAGCAATGTTTCTTAATTTATTTCAACAAAAATGTGTTTTGTTCACTTCGTGTTTCTGTTTAGTTGTCGAAATGTACTATATTGTATTGTTTATTTGCGTAATTCTCTGTCCCGAATGTTCTTGCATTTATTTGTACTGCATTCCTGTCATGTAATGGTGTCATTTTAGTGTTATATTTAACATTACCATAAAAGTGCGAGGTTTGGCTAGCCACAAAACCAGGTTCAACTCACCATTTTTTTCTAAAAATGTCCTGTACCAAGTCAGGAAATTGGCCACTGTTATATTATAGTTCGTTTCTGTGTGTGTTACATTTTAATGTTGTGTTTCTGTTGTGTCGTAGTTCTCCTATTATATTTGATGTGTTTCCCTCAGTTTTAGTTTGTAACCCGGATTTGTTTTTTTCTCAATCGATTTATGAATTTCGAACAGCGGTATACTACTGTTGCCTTTATTTGAACCAAACTGGCTGCTAAAAGCGAATTATTATTTCACTATTTCACTTAAACTAATGATTGAAAAAAAACAAAAACAAATCATATTTTATTTTTTTTTATATCTCGTAGCTAATGGTAAATGCCCCTTTAATAATTTTCCAGATCATTTCAGTCCCACATCAAACAAACTGCAATATGGACACAGTGTAAGATGGGACCAATGGAACATCCCCGGCATGCTTGCAAAAAATCACTACCTTAAAATGTTATCAGAACCACAGTGTCCTTTGTACTATATTTTGAAATCATCAAAATCAAGAGAGCTTATAACCTTTGTATTACCAAACTCGCAATCAGAAGTTTCATTTTAATATTTTAAGAGCATTTTAATTTTTGAGTTGGCGTCTTTTGTCATCTTTAACAGAAATATCAATTATCGAACGCAAGCTTACCAAAAGTGAACACATGAATAAAAAAACGCCTTTTGGTCTTAATGTCTTAATGCTACAGAAGTTTTATGTACTTAGTTTCCCAAACGTTTGATTTCGTACTTTGCTTTCGTTCATGCATCATGATGATTTTCCTAGAACATAGTTATCATATGTTTATATTACCCCTAGAACATAGTTATCATATGTTTATATTACCCCTAGAATATAGTTATCATATGTTCATATTACCCCTAGAACATAGTTATCATATGTTTATATTACCCCTAGAACATAGTTATCATATGTTTATATTACCCCTAGAACATAGTTATCATATGTTTATATTACCTCTAGAATATAGTTATCATATGTTTATTTTACCCCTAGAACATAGTTAGCATATGTTCATATTACCCCTAGAACATAGTTATCATATGTTTATATTACCCCTAGAACATAGTTATCATATGTTCATATTACCCCTAGAACATAGTTATCATATGTTTATATAACCCTAGAACATAGTTATCATATGTTCATATTACCCCTAGAACATAGTTATCATGTGTTTATATTACCCCTAGAACATAGTTATCATATGTTTATATTACCCCAGCTCTTCCGCCTCCAGTACAGTCAAGAATTCCGTCATTGTTTAAATCTTCATTACAATTAATCCCGAAAAGTTCGTGTATGGAATAATGGCGCCATAGTTCCTTCCCTGTTAAACCGTCTAAGGCCATCATTCCTCCAAAGCATGGAGCTTTAACACCAAAATATATATCACAGACAATATCGGACACAAAGTACCCATCGGCACCTGTAAATTAAAAGGCCGATTAACTACAATATCGGATCCAAAGTACAAATTGAACACCTGTTAATCAAAAGGCCAATTAATTAACGTTTAAAACATAAAGAAAAAAATAACAAATAGAAAATAATATGTGTTTAAAACTTTCGATTTTGCGAGCTTAGTGATTGGTAGACAATATCAGAGGATAATTTCATGATATAGTATACATATATACCAAAGAAAAAATATCGGTATAGATCTATCATAGTTACATTTAAGTTAAACGACAATGTGTGGAAGGTCAGTATTAAGGTATTTTCCTGATAACACAAAATTAAACCTTGCAAACCTAAAATTTGATTAATTGCATATATATATATAGAAAAGTAATTTGTGTTGATGTCATTGGAATGTTTAATTTATATTTAACTTCCCAAACTCTTGGTCTTGGGAGTATCACATGAAACACGTATCGTGCGGCTGCCCATTGAAATCGATGTTTATACAGTAAATGTATGATGGCGAAGTATACGTAATTGGGCGATGTTTCGTAAATTTGTATGAACTTAAAGCTCGTTGAACTGCATCTAGATATCATGAAAATGATATACATGAATGTAGCATTTATACTCCAAACAATCAGTTTAAAATGTGTGAACTAAGTCCTATAAATTATAGAATGCACGTAAAAGCGCATTTTCAATTCAAATATGGCGTCTTCTCGAAAACCTATCAACAGAATTTTGTTTAGAAATGACATCTAATTGCTTTGAACATTTCCTTTATAATGCTATATTAATAAGCCTTTATACGAACGTTTAACTTAAGTGTCTTAGATCTATAGATACTAGCATAGTCGTCTGATCTGTATTTAACTGAGGTGTCTTAGATCTATAGATACCAGCATAGTCGTCTGATCTGTATTTAACTGAGTTGTCTTAGATCTATAGATACTAGCATAGTCATCTGATCTGTATTTAACTGAGGTGTCTTAGATCTATAGATACTAACATAGTCGTCTGATCTGTATTTAACTGAGGTGTCTTAGATCTATAGATACTAGCATAGTCGTCTGATCTGTATTTAACTGAGGTGTCTTAGATCTATAGATACTAGCATGGTCGTCTGATCTGTATCTAACTGAGGTGTCTTAGATCTATAGATACTAACATAGTCGTCTGATCTGTATTTAACTGATGTGTCTTAGATCTATAGATACTAGCATAGTCGTCTGATCTGTATTTAACTGAGGTGTCTTAGATCTATAGATACTAGCATAGTCGTCCGATCTGTATTTAACTGAGGTGTCTTAGATCTATAGATACTAACATAGTCGTCCGATCTGTATTTAACTGAGGTGTCTTAGATCTATAGATACTAACATAGTCGTCCGATCTGTATTTAACTGAGGTGTCTTAGATCTATAGACACTAGCATAGTCGTCCGATCTGTATTTAACTGATGTGTCTTAGATCTATAGATACTAACATAGTCGTCCGATCTGTATTTAACTGAGGTGTCTTAGATCTATAGATACTAGCATAGTCGTCTGATCTGTATTTAACTGAGGTGTCTTAGATCTATAGATACTAGCATGGTCGTCTGATCTGTATCTAACTGAGGTGTCTTAGATCTATAGATACTAACATAGTCGTCTGATCTGTATTTAACTGATGTGTCTTAGATCTATAGATACTAGCATAGTCGTCTGATCTGTATTTAACTGAGGTGTCTTAGATCTATAGATACTAGCATAGTCGTCCGATCTGTATTTAACTGAGGTGTCTTAGATCTATAGATACTAACATAGTCGTCCGATCTGTATTTAACTGAGGTGTCTTAGATCTATAGATACTAACATAGTCGTCCGATCTGTATTTAACTGAGGTGTCTTAGATCTATAGACACTAGCATAGTCGTCCGATCTGTATTTAACTGATGTGTCTTAGATCTATAGATACTAACATAGTCGTCCGATCTGTATTTAACTGAGGTGTCTTAGATCTATAGATACTAACATAGTCGTCTGATCTGTATTTAACTGAGGTGTCTTAGATCTATAGATACTAACATAGTCGTCTGATCTGTATTTAACTGAGGTGTCATCTATAGATACTAGCATAGTCGTCTGATCTGTATTTAACTTAAGTGTCTAAGATCTATAGATACTAGCATAGTCGTCTGATCTGTATTTAACTGAGGTGTCTTAGATCTATAGATACTAACATAGTCGTCTGATCTGTATTTAACTGAGGTGTCATCTATAGATACTAGCATAGTCGTCTGATCTGTATTTAACTTAAGTGTCTTAGATCTATAGATACTAGCATAGTCGTCTGATCTGTATTTAACTGAGGTGTCTTAGATCTATAGATACTAGCATAGTCGTCTGATCTGTATTTAACTGAGGTGTCTTAGATCTATAGATACTAACATAGTCGTCTGATCTGTATTTAACTGAGGTGTCTTAGATCTATAGATTATAGCATAGTCGTCTGATCTGTATTTAACTGAGGTGTCGTAGATCTATAGATACTAGCATAGTCGTCTGATCTGTATTTAACTGAGGTGTCTTAGATCTATAGATTATAGCATAGTCGTCTGATCTGTATTTAACTGAGGTGTCGTAGATCTATAGATACTAGCATAGTCGTCTGATCTGTATTTAACTGAGGTGTCTTAGATCTATAGATACTAGCATAGTCGTCTGATCTGTATTTAACTGAGGTGTCTTAGATCTATAGATACTAGCATGGTCGTCTGATCTGTATCTAACTGAGGTGTCTTAGATCTATAGATACTAACATAGTCGTCTGATCTGTATTTAACTGATGTGTCTTAGATCTATAGATACTAGCATAGTCGTCTGATCTGTATTTAACTGAGGTGTCTTAGATCTATAGATACTAGCATAGTCGTCCGATCTGTATTTAACTGAGGTGTCTTAGATCTATAGATACTAACATAGTCGTCCGATCTGTATTTAACTGAGGTGTCTTAGATCTATAGATACTAACATAGTCGTCCGATCTGTATTTAACTGAGGTGTCTTAGATCTATAGACACTAGCATAGTCGTCCGATCTGTATTTAACTGATGTGTCTTAGATCTATAGATACTAACATAGTCGTCCGATCTGTATTTAACTGAGGTGTCTTAGATCTATAGATACTAACATAGTCGTCTGATCTGTATTTAACTGAGGTGTCTTAGATCTATAGATACTAACATAGTCGTCTGATCTGTATTTAACTGAGGTGTCATCTATAGATACTAGCATAGTCGTCTGATCTGTATTTAACTTAAGTGTCTAAGATCTATAGATACTAGCATAGTCGTCTGATCTGTATTTAACTGAGGTGTCTTAGATCTATAGATACTAACATAGTCGTCTGATCTGTATTTAACTGAGGTGTCATCTATAGATACTAGCATAGTCGTCTGATCTGTATTTAACTTAAGTGTCTTAGATCTATAGATACTAGCATAGTCGTCTGATCTGTATTTAACTGAGGTGTCTTAGATCTATAGATACTAGCATAGTCGTCTGATCTGTATTTAACTGAGGTGTCTTAGATCTATAGATACTAACATAGTCGTCTGATCTGTATTTAACTGAGGTGTCTTAGATCTATAGATTATAGCATAGTCGTCTGATCTGTATTTAACTGAGGTGTCGTAGATCTATAGATACTAGCATAGTCGTCTGATCTGTATTTAACTGAGGTGTCTTAGATCTATAGATTATAGCATAGTCGTCTGATCTGTATTTAACTGAGGTGTCTTAGATCTATAGATACTAACATAGTCGTCTGATCTGTATTTAACTGAGGTGTCTTAGATCTATAGATACTAACATAGTCGTCTGATCTGTATATAACTGAGGTGTCTTAGATCTATAGATACTAACATAGTCGTCTGATCTGTATTTAACTGACGTGTCATCTATAGATACTAACATAGTCGTCTGATCTGTATTTAACTGAGGTGTCTTAGATCTATAGATACTAACATAGTCGTCTGATCTGTATTTAACTGAGGTGTCATCTATAGATACTAACATAGTCGTCTGATCTGTATTTAACTGAGGTGTCTTAGATCTATAGATACTAACATAGTCGTCTGATCTGTATTTAACTGAGGTGTCATCTATAGATACTAACATAGTCGTCTGATCTGTATTTAACTGAGGTGTCATCTATAGATACTATCATAGTCGTCTGATCTGTATTTAACTTAAGTGTCTTAGATCTATAGATACTAACATAGTCGTCTGATCTGTATTTAACTGAGGTGTCATCTATAGATACTAACATAGTCGTCTGATCTGTATTTAACTGAGGTGTCTTAGATCTATAGGTACTAACATAGTCGTCTGATCTGTATTTAACTGAGGTATCTTAGATCTATAGATACTAACTTAGTCGTCTGATCTGTATTTAACTGAGGTGTCTTAGATCTATAGATACTAACTTAGTCGTCTGATCTGTATTTTAACCGGTTGTGTCCTACTAGCTTCCGATTGTAAAATGTTGACCGAGTGTGGATTCGCATGGCGGGTGACGAATGCATAGCTGGGGACACTTACCATATTATGGAAGCACCAGGTCTTGCTCATTTTAGAGTACATGCGATTTCTTCAGTTTTGTTTGTAACCTTCAGTTGTTTCTTCCTAATCGATTTATGAGATTTGAATATTGGTAAGCTATTGTTGCCAAAATAGCGTGGTTCTTCGATTATTTATGAATAAAAGGAGATGCTGTATATAAACCAATGATACAGAAACCCAATGACAAAAATAACAAAAAAACATCTAAGGGGCAACATATAGTCTGGGTTTCTACAAAAAAAAATTCTTTCAAAAATATTTTAATCATAATGTACTGACCGTACCGAATCTGCCATCACTGTGTACTCACCCGTTACAAATCTGCCATCTATGTGTACTCACCCGTTCCAAATCTACCATCACTGTGTATTAAATTTACCCGTTCCAAATCTACCATCACTGTGTAAATACCCGTACCTAATATAATATCATTGTGTACCTACCCGTACCAAATCTACCATCACTGTGGACTTACCCGTATCAAATCTACCATCACTGTAGACTTCCTCGTACCAAATCTACCATCACTGTGGACTTGCCCGTACCAAATCTACCATCACTGTGGACTTACCGCACCAAATCTACCATCAATGTGGACTTACTCATACCAAATCTACCATCACTGTGTACTCACCCGTTCCAAATCTACCATCATTATGTACTTACCCATACCAAATCTACCATCACTGTGTACTTACTATACCATATCTACCATCACTGTGTACTAATTCATACCAAATCTACCATCACTGTGTAGTTACCCGTACCAAATCTAAAATCACTGTGGACTTACCCGTACTAAACCTACCATCATGATGTACTTACCCATACCAAATCTACCATCACTGTGTACTTACTATACCAAATCTACCATCTCTGTGTACTTACCCTTTACCAAATCTACCATCACTGTGTACTTATTTATACCAAATCTACCTTCACTGTGTAGTTACCCGTACCAAATCTAAAATCATTGTGGACTTACCCGTACTAAACCTACCATCACTGTGGACTTACCCGCACTAAATCTACCATCACTCTGTACTTACCCATACCAAATCTACCATCACTGTGGACTTACCCGTACTAAACCTACCATCACTGTGTAGTTACCCGTACCAAATCTACCATCACTCTGTACTTACCCATACCAAATCTACCATCACTGTGTACTTACCATACCAACTCTACTATCACCATGGACTTACCCGTATCACATCTACCATCACTGTGGACTTACCCATACCAAATATTCCATCACTGTGGACTTACTCATACCAAATATTCCATCACTGTGGACTTACTCATACCAAATCTACCATCACTGTGGACTTACTCATACCAAATCTACCATCACTGTGGACTTACTCATACCAAATATTCCATCACTGTGGACTTACTCATACCAAATCTACCATCACTGTGTACTTACCATACCAACTCTACTATCACCATGGACTTACCCGTATCACATCTACCATCACTGTGGACTTACCCATACCAAATATTCCATCACTGTGGACTTACTCATACCAAATATTCCATCACTGTGGACTTACTCATACCAAATATTCCATCACTGTGGACTTACTCATACCAAATATTCCATCACTGTGGACTTACTCATACCAAATATTCCATCACTGTGGACTTACTCATACCAAATATTCCATCACTGTGGACTTACCCATACCAAATATTCCATCACTGTGGACTTACCCATACCAAATATTCCATCACTGTGGACTTACTCATACCAAATCTACCATCACTGTTGACTTACCGTGCCAAACCCAAGGATAACACCAAATAAGCCAACATTATTCACTTATCTGCGCCAAATCCAAGAATAGCATCCAATGAAACAACACTATTTAATTACCCATGTCAAATCCAAATATAACATCCAATAAAACAACATTACTTACTCACCCGTGCCAAATCCAAATATAACATCCAATAAAACAACACTAATTACTTACCCGTGCCAAATCCAAAGATAACATCCAATATTCCATCACTATTAACATCCACTAATCTAAACGAGGATTCTGTATTAAGTTTAGATAGACCAACAGTCCACACGTCTTCAACTTTAATGTTATTACACCCTACCAAATTATATCTTAAACTATCTGTTTTAGATGTCTTTATGTTTAAGTTCTCACTCTTTATATCGTTTGTATCATTAAAATAAAAGACAAGTAACGTGATCATACATCCAATGGATGCAATCAAACAGAAACAACAGATCACAGGCTTGATATTTTTCCTATTCCTACAGGTACAATTGTCGCAATGATATTTAGCATATTTCTTTAGTTTGGGTCTATTACGGGGATACATTAAAGGTTTAGAGTAATTATCAATATGTATCCCTCCATTTATAAACACTTCGTCTTCTTCGTCTGTATAATACTCGTCGTCGGTTTCATTACCAGTTCCCCCGGATGACGCTCGAAATCGGCCATTGCACTGACTGTCTGATGAGCTCCGGAGGTTTCTGTGAGAATGATTTTCTGTTGCAAGAGGTATATTTCCGTCAAGAGTGAAATCAGACGAAACGAGAAGTTCCCTGTCGATGTGACTGTCGACAGGAACAAGCAACGATCCATTAGTTTGTGTATAACCATTTCTACTCTTTGTGCCTCTCTTGAATAAAACTTCCGTTTCCAAGTTCAATGCCATTCTAGCACTCTATTTCATCTGAAAGGAAGAGAATAATATTATGAAGCAGATTTGAAAATTGAAGGACATGGCTATTTCTTGCAACAACAAAAAAATATTTTAAAAACGTGTCTCGCCTGCGATTGCTGCTGTCAGTGTAAAAGTGCAATCTTGGCTGTAAAAAGTAAATCCATTTATTATTAAAACACAGATTTTTATGTTTTTTCATACGCATTTTTCTTGATCTTGAGGATTAGCATCTGTCCAAGTTTCATAACCATCCATGAAGGTTTACAAATTTATCATGTAAAAATAACTTAATCTTTAATCCCAGACTGTCTGTAAATGTTAACAAGCAGTCTATCAGTAAAATACTGAAAAATGTCAAAAATATTTTCAAACTTTTGCTTTACCTCTTAATCATAAAAAAACTGCCAAAGTTTCATAAAATTCGATGAATGTTTAACAAAGTTGTTGATGACTGAAAAACCTTAACCTTAGACTGCATCTGAGTGTTAACTGTAAAAAAACTAAGTCAATTTATCAGTAAAATAAAATATTTTCAAAATTTTGCTCATGATACTATCTTTTTGTCATAAAAAAGCTTCTGTCCAAATTTCATCAAATTCCATGCAAGTTTGACAAAGTTACTGATGTCTAAAAAGACCTTTAACCACAGACTGAAACTAAATGCTGGAACGGCCGATGACGACTGAATGTAGGATCGGGCACGACAAAAACACCACAAATATTTGTCTATTTCAGTGATTCCATGAAAGGATATCTTCAAACTTTATCGTTTGTTATTTTAATCATGACAAGCCTCTCTGCATGTTGAAGGTCAGTAAGATTACGCATTAAAAGACTATATTCTAATGACTATTACATGTACAAATGCCAGTGATTTGAAAGAGATTTACAGTTCTTTTAAAAGATTCAAAGAAATCCTAGGTCCGGGCAGTTTAATTTTTAAAATTATAAAATAGTTTCTTGCTTCTTTAACCAGTTATCTGACCTCAGTTAGATCTACATTTACTATATAAGTAAACATAAGAAAAATGAAGAAACAATTAGAAAGCATATTGTCTTTGGTACATAAACACTTAGAATAATTCAATATTAAAAAAATGTAAGTGCTTAAAACGGAAGTAATATCACCTTCCGTCTGCATTGTTACAAAAAATTATTTCAAACGGACTAGTTTTAACTTTGATGTGTTCATACAGAAAAAAAAGAGTTAAATATTTGATAGCCGTGTATTGAAACTAAAAGTGTAGGCCATGTGACTATATATAAAATGAATTGCAGCATTAATATTCATGCTCTGCGGAAATGGCCCTATCAATCATTCTTTGTGTTGTTGTTCGGTGACAAAGAAAATACAAATCCAGGCTACCGTTGGAGTTAACTGTTCTCTATGTAGCTTAATCAGAGTTTTACGACCTGTAATAACTTTATATATTGATCGTGTGGATGTCGTGACGCTGCCCACGCCGGTCCGTAAGTCACTCGTTACCAGCTTTTGTTTCTCATTACGGTATATTACAGGTTGCAATGTAAAACAACTTTCAAAGCATCACATGGCTTTAGTTCGAAGAGCGCGATATCAATTAAAAAATAATAGGAATAAAAGGAGTTCTGGGGTGTACGTCAACCCGACAAAAAAAGAAAGACATCAGAAAGACAACATAAAGGCTTAAAAAAACGAAATAGACCAATCTAATTAAGATATAAAATCTATCGTAACTTGCGTCTAAGTCGTATGAGTATCAGAGATCTATATTTTAACTTGATTGGAAATAGACAGGCATTATACTTATCTTTTAAATTTATTTTTTAGCAAATCCGTTTTTCAAAATCACCAATATTCATAAAACGTTAGCTGTAACGTTGTTGCACCTACGATGCTTGTTTGACTATGAGTAATACTTTATGAGGTACGTTCACAGTCAAAAGGTATGAAAAAAACCAACAGTAACAGTTTAATGGTCTGATACCCTTGAGGACCAATAATCCATTAGCAGTTGTATAGACTCTGGAGCACCTGAGATCACCCCCGGTTTTTGGTGGGGTTAGAGTTGCTCGGTCTTTAGTTTTTCTATGTTGTGTTGTGAACATTTGTTTGCTTGTTTGTCTATTTTTTTTCAGCCATGGCGTTGTCAGTTTATTTTCGACTTATGAGTTTGAATGTCCCTTTGGTATCTTTCGCTAACCTTCTAAAACGTTCCAATTTTCCTGCGTTCGGTAGGGTGGGGAGAGTTCTAAAGCCAAAGATGCATATATACAAGTAGACCTATACATAACCGGAACGGGCAAATCAATACAATATACTGATAAACTTGTTAGTAGAGAGAGGTGTCATCTTTATTACTGGTTTTGTTTACAAATACAAAACGTACGAAATATGACATATTATCGTTGTGAATTATGGTCATTGCCAAAAGATTATTAATTAACCTCTGTGTGGATGATTCCCTTGGGGACATACAGTCCATTCCGAGTTGTAGTAGAAATAGTAAAACGTGCTGATATTTCACCGTTGGGCAATTTTGGATTTACAGAACGCTTAGAACCAAAAGTTTTTTTAAAGGTTATTAATACCTTAGTGCGTACAACTATATCAAAATAAAATGTGTCATTGTTTTACTTTTTTAACGCTTTCTTGGTTTTACCTTCGTTAGGAACGCTCATAACCAAAAATAGAAATAAACTGATTAAAATTAACTTGGGGCTATATTAGCAACAAACTCAAAGTAAAATTCAAATTAAGGCAGCCAAGAATATAAATAAAATCACCCAGTCCTACTTAGGTCTTTACATTATTCCATATATTGAACCTGACATGCTTTCATCAGATTTTGATGCTAAATTTTCTGTATATATATATATATATATATATGTGTGTGTGTGTGTGTGTACGTTCTACATCTTTACGGTTTGTTTTTTTTTTTCATCATGAAACAATGAACAGGAATTCTATATTCCCAGCACATTAACAGAAGCATGGCAACTTCAAAATCGTTTGGAATGTTGTATTTCAAAATCCGTTGATTCTAAACAATGTTTTAGATCACTATTCTTCCAATTATCTAAAATCGATTGTTCATTTTCTCATTAACCAATATTCCATGTAATATTTCAATTAACTCTATTCCTTCGGATTATTTGTTTGGTTTTATTTATAAATATATAAATCTATTTATTTTTTTTTAATCTGTTTTCAATACCTCTGAAAAAACATAAGATTATGATACAAAAGATGTATTACATACACTTACCCCTATTGTATCTAATCTCCTTGTCCTTATAATGTTGTTCCAGTACACAAGTTCGTGTTATATTTACTCTGTTACATGCCGGGATCGATTATCATAAATCGATGAGGACACTGCAATATTTACCGTTTCGTCTCATCAGGAATTCTCCATTTATCAACAATATTTTATTTCAAAAGAATACTGAGAAGTTAGACGAAATCGATTTTCTTTCCGTGAATTCAGTTTCTATATTTATCATTTTATACTACTCAAAGAAAGTTTTGCAACACTTCCATTGAGACTATAGTGGTGGTCAAACTTAAAGGGCTCACATCTTTGTAGAAACTGCTAAAAAAAATATCTAAAATTAACAGCATTCCTGTTTTAAAGGATGTTGAATTGATTACAGAAGAAAACAAACAAAAATATGATAAAAATTTGGGGGCTGGGGAGTGCCCCTCACAGTTTTTTTTAGTTTTTTTATTATTATTATTTAATTTGTTGTGCGATGGAAATGTTAGTTTCTGTTTATATGTAATCAGTTATGCCATCAGATTCACCACTTCCTCAATCGTGTGCGTTGTATGAATTTTTTAATTAGAACCCTTCACTTAAAGTTTGAGAACAGTACGTTTAGCTGTCTGCAATTTCACCATCATAACTGCAGTACTTTTGAATACACAAATAGTTGAGGATTAAGAAAACACAAACTAAAGATAAATTTATTTTACTTTTTTTCAGTCAGAACTTGTGTTGCTAAACTGTTTTTACCAGAATATATACTAATACTTTTTTAAGATGGTGCGTGAAAAGAAACAAGTAAAACAGTATTATAGAGATACAAAAACAACTGTGTTGAATGTAATATAACACAGGACAGCATCCAATTAGTCACAAGAGTGCACACGCTAAAATGTCTCGCTTCTATACTGACCATTGATTTTATGTTGATAGTCCTACATATAAAGTTTTACTACAAGTATCACATTAACATTTATGATCCAAGAAAATGAGGTCAAGGTCAGATAAACCAAGCCGGAAATACATGTACACCTTTAATACACCTTAAAATCATTCCATGCATCAAATATAGTTGACCTATTGCTTAAAGTATCTATGGAAAAAAGTTAACCAGGAAAACTGAACATTGACCAATCAACCATGAAAATGAGGTGAAGGTCAGATGATACCTGCCAGACAGACATATACACCTCACAATCATTCCATACACCAAATATAGTTGACCTATTGCTTAAAGTTTAAGAAAAACAGACCAAAAACACCAAAACTTAACATAAGCAATGAACCATGAAAATGAGGTCAAGGTAAAAAAAAACCTGGCAGACTGACACGAACATCATCAAATATTTCCATACACCAAATATAGTTGACCTACTGCATACAGTATTGGAAAAACAGACCAAAACACAAAAACTTAACATTTAGCAATGAACCGTGAAAATGAGGTCAAGGTCAAATAAAACCTGCCAGACTGACATGTACATCGTTAAATATTTCCATACACCAAATATAGTTGACCTACTGCATACAGTATTAGAAAAACAGACCAAAACACAAAAACTTAACATTGAGCAATGAACCGTGAAAATGAGGTCAAGGTCAAATAAAACCTGCCAGACTGACATGTGCATCGTAAAATATTTCCATACATCAAATATAGTTGACCTACTGCATACAGTATTAGAAAAACAGACCAAAACACAAAAACTTAACATTGAGCACTGAACCGTGAAAATGAGGTCAAGGTCAAATAAAACCTGCCAGACTGACATGAACATCGTAAAATATTTCCATACACGAAATACAGTTGACCTATTGCATACAGTATAGAAAAACAGACCAAAACACAAAAACTAAACTATGACCACTGAACCATGAAAATGAGGTCAAGGTCAGATGACACCTGCCAGTTGGACATGTACACCTTACAATCATTACATACACCAAATATAGTAGACCTATTGCTTATAGTAGCTCAGATATGGACTTGACCACGAAAACTTAACCTTGTTCACTGATCCATGAAATGATGTCGAGGTCAAGTGAAAACTGTCTGACAGGTATGAGGACCTTGCAAGGTACGCACATACCAAATATAGTTATCCTATTACTCATAATAAGAGAGAAATTAACATTAAAACAAATTCTTAACTTTTTTCAAGTAGTCACTGAACCATGAAAATGAGGTCAAGGACAATGGACATATGACAGACGGAAACTTCTTATCATAAGGCATCTATATACAAAGTATGAAGCATCCGGGTCTTCTACCTTCTGAAATATTAAGTTTTTAAGAAGTTAGTTAACGCCGCCGCCGCCGGATCACTATCCCTATTTCGAGCTTTCTGCGACAAAAGTCGCAGGCTCGACAAAAAAGGACTTCATATGAAAGAATATGTAGGATTGAAATATTGGTAAAATAAAGAGAAAATTTTGTACAAAAAAAAGGGAACTTTAATTTCTAAAGATTTAAAAAGGATGAGAAATGTTGAGCGAAAGGATAGAAAAGTCGAACGAAAAATCAAAGAAGGAGTAAGCTTATATATATTCATCAAAAGGATAGACAATGTTATTAATCTCCTATACGTAAGTTCTTTATTGATAAATGCTCTGTAATAATGGTCGAATAAAGATAGAGTTAACTATCGTAGCATCATGAAAATAGTTACACTGAGCTAGGAATATCCAACTTTCCAATTTGTAAGCACAAGAAGATGCTCGTAAATTCAGATTCAATTTCATTGCAAATCAAAATGAAATAATGGAAAAGGTGGAAAACATCTAAAAAAAAAAGTAATTTTGAACTATTAAAGGGATAAACGATTACACAGATATAATGAAACTTTTGTTCAACGAAAATTACAGTTTAGATACAAATGGGTCATACATGTAAGAGTTCGTAAATATAAAGCTGGGAAACGAGTTTATTACAATGTGGGTCTGGATTTAGCCTCACATAAATTCTCAATAAAAGATGTGGGTATACGTCAATAAGACAGCTCACAAACAACAAATACAAAACAAAAAAACTCTATAAAGGTCAACATCCGGTCTTCAATAACAGACAAAAATTAATGTCAATGGAATGTGTCAAGCTCTTAATCGCCCATAGTCGAAATTGTCAATAAATTTATTCTTTTACTTAGGGGTTAGGGTTCATTTATAGTTATGGTTGGGTTAGGGAATGTCCTTGGTTATGGTTAGGGCTTGTTTTGGGGTTATGTATGGGTTGATATAAGGTTTATGGTAAGGGATAGATAAGTATAGCTCTATATGCTTTGGGACCCCTGAAGTAAAAGAACGCCAATGATAGAATACTTATCCATAAAACTTTCATAACATACCAAAATATCCAGAATTCATCATACTCTTCGTTTCCGTGACATCGTCAACTGCATCAGTTACATTTGCCAAAGAATCTGTGGCCAATGAGAATCAATTTGAGTTAGATACAGTATCAGGGGTAGATAACTCATAAACAGACGTTGTTTTCGCGACGTTGCTAATGATAGGGATCTCCATTTCGCGGTCAATTCACTTACGTCATGACATCTAACTAGTGCTTCTTTTATTGTGTGCTGGCAAGAAATTGTCTATGGTTTTCTACTACAGTACTAATACTTGAATGATTTTACAATTATTTTTATTGCTTAGGTAATAGGCTTCTTTCCCTTCCTTCTTAGGCTCTGTATAAGTTTGACTCTAATCAAGGAAGGATAATAAAGTTACCCAGAAACAATTTGTTTCAGACACAAGGACGGGCGAACTAAGCGATTACTATGTGCCTGACGATTTCGGATAATTGACTTATTTGTATATCTTTTCTTGCTGATCATATTTTCTATCTAATGTGTCTACTAAAGTTTTCAAGATAAAAGGCAAAAAATGCAATAAAATTGGTAAAATTCACAATTTAAGGGCATTTACTCTTATGAGAAATCATGTGACCGTTTTGATGTAAAAAGACAATAGGTAGATCTCAACATTTTGCCCTATCTAAAGTGGTTTTCAAGATCATAGACACACCTAACAATTTACTCTACGTTATAACTTTAGCTATGTCGGCTACGATGGTTGGCAGCCGGGATCATAGGACAAAAATTTTAAAACTGGATACCCAATGATGATTGCAGCAAAGTTTGGTTAAATTTGTTTCAGAAATTTCATAGAAGATTTTTGTAAAAGTTAACGGTCAATGACGGACACCAAGTAATGATAATAGCTCACGTGGACCTTTGGGCCAGGTGAGCTAAAAACAAAGTCAGCTATCTACATTTTTAAGTATATCAATAGCTTATATTGGGTTTCACATTGGACCCATATTCTATACTCGAATTACCGTCCAAATTTCATTTCACAAATGTTGACCTACAATTCGTCTTTTCACACAGAAGTAAATTCAACTTCATCAATCGTAGAAAGTCGAAAGAGTAAACCACATTTTAATTGTTAATTTTGTAGGTTCATTTTTGTTCAAACGGTTGTAGTTATTTCTGTTTTTAACCTAAGGTGAGTTTGCCCATTATGATGGGTTGTTTTGTCATATTCATGTGGGTGCACTGTTGTCAAGACCTTCATGTTGGTATATTTTTTTTTCATTCAGATAAGTTGTGGTGTCCTATTGCCTAGAAATTTTAATGTTTTTATTTGTCAAATATTACATTTATCAGTTACTTAGTGTTGTTGTTTGAATGTTTTAGTGGGTTTTAGTCATATCATTTCGTCTAAAGAAATACGTAACTTTACAGTACATTCCGGAAATAACATATTTCCATGGAATCTAAAGCTTAATAATCATAAGGGCGGATAAACTCCTGCCATATATCCCCTCCCCCAGAAATCAAGAGAATCCATACACAATAATCAATTCTCCATGATTTGCAAGATTTTTATCTCACATTACTAAATCACAATTTTCTTTGGTTCCTATCCAAAGACCAGTTTGGCTAACAACAAGGAATGTAAACTAGAGACTCTTAAAGAGCCTGTGTCGCTCACCTAGGTCTATGTACATATTCAACAAAGGACACTCTCATCGTAGACGAGAATAAAACGCATGACAAAAATCTCTTTAAT